AATGTTTTATTTTGTTAAAGACAAAGTTCAAGTTTTTTTTCCTGCACATTTGCAGTGGTCTAGGATAAATTATAGGGATGCTCCAATCCGATCACGATTAGAAATCGGGTCCTATCACATGACTTTGAAAAAAATCATAATCGGGTGAAAAAGATCAGATTAATTGGAACAACAATGGCTCAGTTTTAATCCCAACAAGTTCTTCTACACCAGTGTTCTTTGTTTTTTGGAAGAAAACACCATTACATCACACAATTTACAGCAGGTGAGGATTCAGATGATTCAGACACCATAACATGCAGCTGTTGTAGGCTAACGCAGAGCTAACGTGTCTATGTATTTTGGTGGTGTTTAAAAGCGGACAGCGAAGGCAGTGGAACAGCCACTTGTAATGTGTGCATACTGGGTATTCAACATGCTGGAAAAGACGGCTGCATTAGAAGCAGCCTTCAAAACGAGCTACTTTCCCCTTCTGCTTTTTATCCCTTCCGGCGTCACCACGAGAACTCATCGGTCTGCATTAAGTCCCAGTTCACAGCGACGTCTCTAATAAAATCACAAAGCCAGCCAATAGTGAAAGATAAGTTCATAAACAGAGTAAATGCAGACGGACAGCAAAATGTTGTAGTTTCTCATTCTGCAGCACCTGAGCTGACCGCGCCGGTAGCTACGGGTGTTGTGCAGATAAAAGTTAGCCTGTCGGCGATGACGCTGCATGCCTCCCGTCACAGGAACACGCACCACTTGGTAGAGCAGCAAAATGAGGATGTAAACAATTAAAAATATGAGCAACTCTGCTTAAATATATTCATAACATGTTTTTTTATCAATATACTTCTAAATGAGGTTTTTTTTTTTTTTTGCAGATAAACTAAGGAAATAACATAAATACAGAATGAAAGAAATACCTAAATTATATAAATAATTTAAGGATAACTTAGATGTGTTTCCCTTTTTTCGAGTTATTTGAATGCTTTGCTGAAGTATTGGATTGTGACTCGATAATGGCAGATACTCAGAATTAAATGACTCGGACTCTGATCGGGAGCAAAAAAATGTGATTGGAACAGCCCTAATAAGTGAACGCCTTGTGAGTCTCAGTGGGCAACAAGCTCATGTGCTCCAGTTTCAGGAAGTAGGAGTGAGCCAGAGCAGAGGGAAGGGGAGCAGAACGCAACAAATTTCTGAGTCTTGTTTCCTGATATTTGGACATCTCGTCTCTGATTGGCTAACGTCAATGCAGCTCGACCACTGACTCAGTTTGCTCTGCATCGTTGATGTTTTATCTCCACAAATACAAGCCAGGAGGAGTTCTGATGTGTTGTGGAGTTGCTACTGCTAACAGTTAGCTTTTACTAGACACAGCCTTCCCCATCGTGAGCCAAGATGGGTGAGTCCGTGAATGCTCATTTTCAGTGTGATGTAGATCTGTCAGGCTTTTCAAATCCGAGCATTTCTCATATTTTCTATCGGCAGGCAGCTAATCTAGAAAAGAGGTGTAGATTATTTTCATATTCAGCCTGTATGTGAACTTCTCAGTGAACTTGGTCTAAATACTCCTTCTACCTCTTAAAACAAGCCAGTATGGCTAATTGTGATCCTTTATCACAACACACAAGGTGTGTTCCCTCCTTGGTCACACATGTCCCACAGAGGACAGCCGTCAAGTCGCTTATTTGCTCTTTGATGACGTTATTTAAACTTTAAAGCGAAAAGTGGGAATGTTTATATGAGCAGGATCCTTAGAGAAGCAGAGCCATGGCACCCTTTAGGAGGCACGATTGCTCCACGCTGGAGGATAATTCTTTCCAGCTCTCTGTTAGAGCTCTCCCATTGGAATGTCTTCGTTTTACAGCCACTAAATGGTTTTCATCTGGAGGAGGCGGATTGACTCTGCTAATCTGACGGATCCTGGTCAATAGCTAAATGTCAAAGTTAAAGGCTTTCATGTAGGCCTTTGTGTGTTTGTGTTTGACTTTAGCTGAGGGGGTTGGATTCACTCCGAACATTCTTCTGGCTACGCATCGGCTCCTTATAAGGACTGGAGGTTGTGTTTATTTAATGATCGGAGTTTGAAAGTAACATAATCACACGTAAGCGACATGTTTGGATGGCGATGGAGGAGAGGAACGTTTTGGGGGTGACATCATGTACAGGTGGATCGACGGAAGTAAAAGTAAACGGCGGTGACTCCCTCCTTCAGTCATTCTTCATGGTGTCAGATAAACAAGAGGCTCTCTGTAGGATTAGAGGTCAGCCCCTCAGATCTAAACAGAACACTTTCTAAAACACAACACCCTTTTATTTACCAGCTTAAATGTTTAAATTTCAGCACTATTTTAAGACATACTCAGTCCTCTGCCAGAGATCATCTGCCTCAAACGTGTTTGTAGCTTCTTTATAGGCCAGCTGTGTCCGTTCTGGATCTGAACAACGTGTCCTCGTTTGTATCTTCGAATGAACCTGAGCAGGATTTATTGTATGTGCTCAGTAAGATTAACTAGGAAGCAAGACTGAAGCTTTTGATAGGCCACATCATTAGATCATCCCAAAAAAACTAATTCCAGCTAATGACTGTTTCCTTCCTTGTGTAAAAAGGAGGAAAGGGAAAAAAAGTCCTCTCTCTCTCAGGTTTCCTGATGCACTCATGCATTGCTGCTGAACATTAGGCTCTTATCGGCATACAGCGGCTTACTGTGTGACTGAAACTTTCTGGAACATTTCCACATGGCACAAATAAGTGGCGGTAATAAGGCCACGGACAGTTGGAAGGCAGATTTGGCAGCCTCTTCAAATAGTTGCTGTTTGAAGGTGGACCGTGTGCTGGTGTTTCAGGTTTCACTGCTCAGGTTTCTCAAAAAGTTAAAGATCACTCTTTGATAATCTGTTGAAGGATGGATGGAAAAAAGAGGATGGGGTTAATAATGCTTGGCTTATGCTGACATATGGAATAACGTACATTTAATTAACTAAAGAATAAGCCCAAAAGTCTAATGACTTCCCCATTAACTGTACTTTTTGTTTACAGGGTATCCGCTGGTCCTTAAAAAGTCTTAAATTAGCTTTTCCTAATTTAAGGCCTTAAAAGTCCTTAAAAATGACAAATAATCCTTAAATCCAGTTTCCAAAGGTCTTAAATGACCAAAGACCCAATAAACAAGATTCTTTTATTTCTATAAAAATTTCCTGAATTTCTAGTTAGTGTTCAGCATTTTTTGTGTACGATGTTGGCGTAAGCGGAACCGTACGCAGTCAGTTGGTTGTGAAAGGGGGCTTTTTTTTTAGATGAGCACATTAGCTGGTTAAGCTAGTGGGAGCTTGCGCCATAGGGAAGGGCAAGTTTAATGGTAACTGGATGGCTAATCCCACGTTCGCGGCTTGGTTAGCACCGGCTCCAGGCAATAGCTGGAAATTATCGCTTAAATTTAATTTTTAAAATAGCTTAAATTTGGTCAAAGTGGCCTTAAAAAAGGTCTTAAAAAGTCTTAAATTTGGCTCCCTTAAATCTGCAGATACCCTGGTTTACTATAGTGCATTTTGCCATTAGCCTGGCAAACCATCCTATGCAGAGCAAAATCATTGTGTTTTGGTAAATGACGGTCTAGACGAGAGGCATTCAGTTAGATTTTTTTGTTGGGCCAAATTGTCATAAGGCTTTTGCCAGCGGGCCGCTCATTTCCATACTCCATCTCTTGTAATGTACCGTTGCCTTTTGTTTTTTGTCAGTATGCACGCAGTTCAGAGCGATATTGTTTTCCAGGGGCAGCCATGCCCACACTGGCAACCCTTTGGGGGCACCACTGCTCCAACTCAGCACCAGCATTCAACAGCCCAGTTACTGCTCATTTTTCTCTACATTTGAATGAGTCACAGAACTAATAACGTGGACTGAATGTGCAGTAAGTCGACCCCTATAAAACAGAGGGAAAATATCCATCATGATCCTGCTTTATCTTTTCTGGCTTAAAACCCAGTTTTCTAATAATTGTTGAGATGCAAGCAGATAAAATGCAGATATCCTGATTTTTTTTTTTTCATCAAACACTGAAGCCTCTTGAAAAGTTCACTGCAGGTTCAAAAGGATAAGTTTAGCCGGCAGATGAAGATGGATATTAACCATTGGTCCATCTGCAGAATCCTCAAGCTGCAGAAGAAGCTCCTATATGGTACTCTTTAATGCCGTGCACAGGTGTCTATAAAAACTGCTACAGCTTTTAAACTACTTGCAGCATCCAGACATTTTTAAAGACAGCCAGAGCTGCAAATCTGGGTCATGCATGAAAACTGAGTGAGGTGTGCTCCAGATGAGGAATGTTATCTCACCAGAAATGCAGCGGAAGGCTGCTGTTTTTAAGCCTTTAACAAAAGTGGTACTACAGTGTTTCAGTGTCTGGTTTTGAACGACTTAGAGGGATGTTTTTTCTCTAGTTTGACTGTGGGAGGCTAGGATCTGTTTCCAAGTTAAAATCTGTTTAAGGACAGCCTCATTACTTGTTTGAAGTTTGGGATGGCGCTGCAAGAACACGCTGTCTATCTGAAACAACAACAACCTGTACACATACGTGGTTGGAGGCTTTACTTGAACACAATAACCTCATTCATAAACAGATGACTTTCAGTCTTGCCTAAGCTTCTGATCCGCTGAACACAACTGCAGGGACCCTGACTCATCACCAGTGAATTCTGTTTCTCCCTCCCGTTTTTCAGTCAGACTTTTCTCATTTTCTGCTCTTAGGTTTGCATGTCCTGCTCTTGTTTAGGGTTGTTTTGTTTTTCTCCACGATGGTGAAATCCGGTGTCTGAGTCACCTCTGGACTCCACTTGTTCCCTGACTTGTTACAACAATACATCTTACTCAGAATGCAGGTTTTATTTTTAAATCATGTTTTCTCAATGAGCAGAAGGAAATGACTTCCCAGCAATACTAATGAAAGTTTGTGTTTTCTTGTTTTTGTGGACTGAGAGCTAACAGCCTTCCTCCTCTCTCCTCTCTGATACAGACAGCATCATCAAGGACGAAGAGTTTGAGGTGATGATGCAGATCGACTGTGAGGTGACCGACACCAGGATTCTCCACATCAGATCCTCCAGCATCCCACATTTACTGAAGGTCAACCACACGGACACGTTTTACCAACACTCCACCACCGACAGCAAGGCTGTGCCTCCTGTTGGTGTCCTAATGGGCTCTGCATAAGATCACTCCTCTACCAAACCCAGACCTACAAGAATAAACCTCAGTTAGCTCACGTTTTTATTGATGAAGAAAAAGATTAATCTGTGATTCCGTAGATTTTATGTGTTTTTGGTTTACACGGGCATGCTTTGCAGAACTGTAGTTAAAACACAAATGCAGCTTGGACTTTTGCACCGCTGAGCCTCGTTCCCGATCAGGGCTGACATCTGGGGCTAGTGTGTAACGAGATCAGAGCAGAGGCGGGCTTCTTGTGCAGCAACACCGACTTCTCCCTGTACCCCGGACTTCCTGTGTGAACAATAATTGTTTGACAGCAGGGAGCTGAGCACTGACCCCTGAGTCACCTCATCACAACAAAACACTTTCAACTCCCCTTCAGGCAGCCCTTTATTTCCCCTCTCAACAAGTTTGGGTTAAGAAAGAAACATTTGTGATATTATAGTTTAGAATCAAGTTGTTTTATAATGAAGACGGGCGACCTTTGTTTGTCTGATTTAAACTAAGCTGATTTTTGTTTTTGTCTTGTGAAGTAAACCCTACCTGATTTTTATCATCGGCAGGAAATGATGCATTTAAAGAACTCAGGAAGATCGTCTGACGGCCTACAGGCTTTATTTAAATATTCCAAGTGCTGTTTGCAGCACTTTGACAAAATGCATTTAATACGTGATTTTTGAGTTTTGCACTGTTTATTTCCTTATATATAAATAAAAATTCTTTATTTTTTAAATATTTTATGAATGTACAACAATGTTTAAATACAACTCACTCTTTTGTTTTGTCAAAAAGAAATTTCCTACTTTTTTTTTCTTTGTGGGATTTTTATTGTAATTGTCAACAGAAACCTTTGATATTGTGTTTGTAAAACCATAAATGGTGGATGGCTACATTATAAATGTAAGTGCATACAGATTTCAGACATGCTGAGTTTTATAAGGTTACATTTTGTTTTTTAAATAATTTAGGGAATATTCTTGAACGGTCAAGTTGATGCTTGATGTGCAACCACTGTTTTGTAAACTAAAACCTGACAAATATTATCTACTAATTGTTACAATTTATCATAAGTTATTGGTTTATTGAAGTGCAGAGAAAGAGCGTTTAGTTTTAATGTTAAATGTCTTAGTCTGGGGCTTTTTACCGTGAAAACCTTTGATAATAGATATGATTAGAAATGGTAACTCCTTTTCAGAGATTTTTTGGGGGGGGCTGTGTTGACAGAACAGCGTTTACTTTTCTAAATATTTCTTCCAGCATCATGTTTTCATATAGTTGTTTTCAGCTCCTAAAAAGTGTAGAAAAGCTGTTATTGTTAGTTGCCAGGTGTTGTGTGAAGGTCCTTTCCTTTTTTCAGTTTCAAACAAACCCGTCAGAATTTGGATTCTCCAACCGAGCTCGAGTAATAATTTGTTGTGACTTGTTCTTCTGTGTGTTTTAAACCAAAATAAACACTGGATTTTCTTTAACTTTATCAGAAAACTGAGCACTTCGTGTTTTCTTAGTTTAATTTTTGTGTGAAAGGCTTGAGTGTTCGTGATGGGCCCTCCTGCAGCGATTCCAGAGAATTACAGCCTTTCACATTCCTTCTTTCTATGTCTATTTATTTTTCCATTATTTCCTGCAAATCTTTGGTTAAGTAACTCTTCCAGTCTTGAGCAAAACAAAGTAAACATCTTTCGTTAGCATTTCCCGGCTTTATTTGAGTAAAATCCTGATTATGGTGAGAGAAGAGGATTTATGAAAGCATAGACCTCGCTAGCCTCTTAACATGTTATGAACCAGAGAAAAAATAAATGTACAAAACATGACAGTTATTTTGTTCCTCGAATGAAGGAACCAATTTAAAAAGTTCCCTAAACTTTATATGTCTAAACAAGTCACAGACCTGTGTAGATATTTTCTATGTGGTCTGACCCAGCAATATACAAAATGAACAGTCAAAGCTTGCATACAGGAAAACTTGAAGGGATTTTTGGGCCATTTTGAATTATTTTTCTGAGTAAAAGTTATAATTACAATCCGGTCCATTGTAGATTGGTATGATCCTCTCATTGTCCATGTGTCTTGTTTTCCAAAAGCACAGATTTACTCTCACAAGTGGAACTTTACAGCTTTCACTGCAATGATCTACCTGATATTTAGATTGAATTTGAATCCCGATGGACACAGAGATGGAAATGAAATGAAGAAGAAAGGAAGAGAGGTGGGGAGGGAGTTACCCAAAAAATACAACAGGTAGAAGGAATCTGCAGAAAGGGAGAGAAAAACAGAACCAAAATACAAGATAAGTGAGATCATGAGTGGCCTCTGTTCTGAGAAATAGCTTTTACTTCCTTCAGAGCGGCTATGAACACAAGACCTAAACGTACTGCTGCCATCGTAAATCTAAATATCACAGTAGTTTATGCAAACGTAGTTTTAGTTACTCATGCATGGCCATCAGTTTTGCATTACATCATTTTTGTTGCAGAAATACTAGAAAATCCTGGCAAAGTTGACCCTTGCACGCACCGTAAGGATTATGTTTTGCTACCTCTGGTGATACAATTGTAGACAACCATCAATGACTTCCTATGAGTGAAATAGCAAAATTTACATCTTTTTCATGGAAACACAATTCAAAATGTCTGTAAAAAATCCACTTTAATGACTTGACTGAGGAATCTGGATTTGTTTTTTTTTTTGTTTTTTTTTTCATACAAATGAAACTCTATAATGGATTTATACCGTTTGTACATTTGGCCTCGTCTGATTAGACCACATGGACTGATCCACAATCCATTGAGACCGCTAACACTTAAAACGACCCGTCACGCCTTCGCTAAGGGTCTACATAAGCAAACCTGATGTTGTACGTGACTTGGTGCCCGTTGTCCCACGCATACAGAACACCCTCCTTGGGATTGTAATCAATTTGGGTGGTGTAGGTGTAGTTGTTGATGAAAGGCATTCTGGGAATCATTTGAGTGTTCGTGTGTGTGTCAAAGGCATACTCCAGATTGGCGTCCCTTCGATTGTAGCTGTCAACAGCGTACAGGACGCCGCACACGATGAAGCAGTTCCCAAAATAGTTCCGTCTGAGCCCGGTCCTCCATGTGGTCTCCCTCTGCATGCTGAGGTCCGACGGATTCAGTCGACTCAGAACGACCACTTCTTGCAAGAAGCCCTCATCGTCCATCGCTGGGTAGATGATCCACAGGCCGCTCTCGTCCACGGCGAGGTCGATGTCTGAGTGGCTGCGCCAGTCCCATGGTGACGACGACTCCTCGAAGAGGGCGTCGTGCAGCATTGTCCAGGCGGCCACATGCCGCTGCCTCAGGTCAAACTTGATGATGTCCCTGGAGAAGGCCCGGTTGTAGAAGAAGGCCCCATCATAGACCACGTGGCCTGTACCGATCCAGTTGTAAGGAAGCTTGTAGGAGTTGGTGAAACGGCCTTAAAAATAAAAAAAAACATGAGATCTGTTACGAGAAAATAAAAAACGGCTTACAACAAACTCTTCTAACACTTACCTTGCTTAAAAACTTCCAGATTTTTAAACTCCAGGAGATTGTTCCCATAGTAGAAGTCCGTAATGTAAATTTTATCATCAGCAGACGTTGGATCTTTCATCCACGCTCCCTCCATCCTGCCGTAGGTGTTATGGGTGACTGGTTCAGAAATACTCGCCAACGTGTCCTTACAATCCCCTGAGAGGAAAACCCAGAGATGCGTAAGGGAGGATTTAGAGGTAGATATTAGCCAAACCAGTGCCAAGGAATCAGAATAATCACAATAAGGTACATCGTGTGTATACAGGAGTTGTTTTTGGCAACATTAGTTGTGGTTGCAAACTCAAAATAACCATGTACCAGGTTTCCGTGAAGTTGGTTCTTCCTGTCTTTGCACCAGCTCCCGTCCGTTCTGGTTTCCTTCCTCTGCTTCTTCTTCCCAACTAATCTTGTATTTCTTTCTGACTTGAGCAGCTTGTTTGCTGGTGGTTGTGGCTTTAGTGGAAGTAGATATTGAAACAGGAAGATGAGTGTCATGAGGGAAAGCTGAGCCTGAAACGTAGGAAGAATTGTTTTCCTCCTGTGGTGTCGTGGCATCGGTCTGTGAGGAAGTGAAGAATGTTGGATCTGAGGATGGACGGCTGGTTGTTGAGGCGTCCGCTGTGATGTTTAGTCTAAGTCTGCTTGGATTCGCTGCTGTACTGGCTCTTATGGTTTGTGTTTGATCTTTTGGATCATGACTAGAGGTTTCCATCTCGGTAAAAGGTCCATATTCTGGTGTTACTTTGGTAACTTGAGGAGACTGGGGTGTTTCTTTAGGAGCGACACTTGAAGAAACAACTCGTGGTTTAGCCGTCGCAGGAAGTAGCCCCTTGGTGATTCCTGGAGTGTCTCTTTGGGTAGTCTGAGGTGACATATTTGAGGTCTTAAGTATGTCTGCTGTATTGTTTGATCCAAGTGTGACATCCCTCGTGGTGAACGTGACACGTTGCGTGTCTTCTTCTACCGACTTGGATCCGGTTTCACTGATTATGTCATTTTGAGTCTTTGAGATCAGCTCGGTTTCTTTTGGGTTTGTTGATTGGGCGATCTTGTAACTTTTAGCAAGACCTTTTATCTTTGGTCGATAGGATCTCAGTCCCACTCTGGTTCTGGGTCGAGGAGCTCGGTGCAGAAGAAGATTCTCTTCGATGAAGAGGTTAACTGGGCCATCGCCGCTGAAGGTGTCGTATTCAAAATCTAAAAGCAGAAAAGAGGAAGGTCCAGTAAAGTTTACACATCTTGGAGAAAAATGAACTATAAGTCACAGGAAGCCACAAAGCCCCAGCACTGATGCAGTAAAAAGGTGACTGCAGAGCAGCTCACAGACGGTTCTGTTATGATAATCCTCTGTCACCATCTCTCAGGGTTCTGATGTCCATGTTCTCCCTCTTTTCAAGGTGAGAGCTGGTTAAAACTTACAGTTCTCTCCTGGTTCTCCGTCATCTGCCACCATAGGATCTGTCTCCGATTTGTAAAAGGTCATCCCTCTGATGATCATTCCATTGGGTCCAACCTTCGAACCCTGGGTATTCTCCTTGTTCCTCATGCTAGTGGAGGTCGCCTGGGGTTTCACCTCAGTGACCTGACCAGAGCCAGCTGTCTGCAGGATGGGCGGATTCTCCATCATAACCTTCTCATCATACTTCTGTTAACAACAGAAAATACATTTAAAGTCAAAAAGATTCATTCTGCAAAAAGACGAGGCTCGACATCTGGATCTGTGTTCACTAATAACGTTATGAGATGTTTAATAAACAGCTTTTGCTCCTAATAAACATTTATGTTTGACTATGATTTGATGAATTGGTTCTTGAGATGAAAGTTTGCTCATTTCTTTGGGCAGATGTTGCAGATGTTAGGATGACCGAAGTGATTTCTGCCTGATTGTCTCTTATATGAGCCATTCTCATATGTATTTCACTCCTACTGTAGTTTAGCAGTTTCCTTTATACACAAATCAAAAAACTTTTGTGTTTGGTAAAATCTCACACTTGCAATGTTTTCCTAATGATCTATCAGTGTGGAGCTGTCACTCTTGCCTCTGGATTTTGATACGCTGCCGCCCTGCCAACCTCCTCACGTCTCCTCTTGTCCTGATGTTGATGAGGAAGAGGAGTTTCTGTCACTTCTGTCTGGGTGGAAGGACTCTCCTGAGTCTTCCCTTCCTCCACGGTGGGATTCAGAGACAAAACCTGCGTAAAGATGAAGATAGGTTCAGAAATAAACAAGAACATGAGTGTCAAAAAGAATTGCTCCAACTCTAACCAGTTGGAATTAACACACAGGTGAGAAAAATCCAAATGCATCAGGTAAAATGCAGGATGAACTCTAAACAGCAGGTCAGAAAGTTTCTCAAACATAAGAAGCTATATCCATCCACAGTATTTTATTGCTTTAAATTGTAAAAGTTCTGGGAAAAGAACTTTTTTTGACTTTATCAGAACATTTCATGTTTTTATCCAACAATGCAAACACTAAACATTTCTGCTGAATCACAAACAAGACTGTAAAAAAACTATTCATTCACAAAACAAATATCTGAACTAATTCTGGAAGAGAGAGTCCTCTGTAAGTACAGTGTGTTATTGCTGCACCTGTTGTGGTGGGATAGTGTTCTGATTTATGATGCACATCTGACTTGGTGACAGCACAGTCCCAGCTGTTCTAAAATGAGCTGTGATCGGCTAAAATATTCAAGATGGGTGCTTTTGTTTGATTTTTATGTGATCTGGGTGGTCTGACTATGGGGGTGATTGACAATCTACATGTCTTTTTGTGCTGCCCTTGATAAAAGCTGCACTAATAACGTTTTACAAATACTGGATTATCTTGAAGGGGTAAACTGAGGTTTTATTTCCAATCTTTAACCACTCATAAGAGATTACAGAAAGATGTCGCTGGATCTTAGATTATTTTTTTATGTCAGAAATGTTGCTCGATTTCTTTCAGAATAAAATCCTGACTTTAAAAAACACCTTTTGCATGTGTCTTCACCTTCTCTATGCGATCCACACGCTTCAGCAGCTTGTTAGTGAGGGAGTGCAGCTTCAGTAGATCCATTCCGTAGAAGGAACCCTCTAGCAGCTCAAGGATGGTGGACAGCTGCAATGATCAATAGACTCCATCAGAAGATGTCACCCTTTCAAAACACGCGTAAAACAAGCCCATCCCTTTCAATGTGGTCTCTGATCTCACATCAGATCAAAGGTTAGAAATCCATCACACTGGTCCAGATCCCCAAAGGTCTCCAGGAGGACGCTTCACCTCAACATGCTCCTTTTCAGCTTCCCTGAGTCTCTTCAGCCTGAACTCGCCCTCGCAGGGGTTGACCGCGGATGGGGGAGCGATGCAGGCGCACTTGCACTCCGGGCCGGAGGTGATGGTTTCCACGGCGTAGAAGTCCTGAGCGGTTGCGCTCCCTTCTTCTATCCTCCGGCAGGCGCTCCTGCTCAGGGGTCTGACAACACATTTACAGCGACAGTCAGAGCCTTCCGAGAGGGCTTTCACTTTGTCATAATCACCAAGCAGCTACAAAGAGAAGAGGATGGATACTTTTTTTTTTCTATTTCCCACCAGGCTCAATCGGAAACTTTACGCACACATTTATTGACTGCACCTACCTTGGAGATGATGCTCTCCTGACCTTCCACCTCCTCCTGCAGCTCCTCGTTCTGCTCTGCGCCGTTGTCAGGCTGAGACCTCCAGTCTGCATTTAGGGATGGTTTTGGTGCAGCAGACCCCCGAGAGAAAAACGCACAGCACAGCACGATAACATGGAATAACTTAAACATGCTGGAGGTCCCGGAGAGCAACCGCAGCCTGACAGTAATTTAAATGCAAGAGATTTCAAGTTTAAAAATCGTAACAGCGCATCAACAAAGCGAGATGTTGTTTCATAATGAGTGGAGGGTGGAGAAGCGTGCACCCAGGAGAGAAAAGCCCTGGTGTCTGTGGGAGAGCTGATAGGAGGCGGATCTGATCTCCAGGAAAGGAGGAGTGACCCAACCAGGACAAGCCCTTAATCCAAGTTTAAAATCTCTAAGTCACTCAAAATACTACATTAACCCCCCAGATATCACTTAAAGTTAACATAAATGGGGTTAAATATTCAATTAGCAGCCTGCTATTAGACTTGTTATTCAATCACATCAGACAGGTGTCCTAGTACAGGTGATGTGATGCTGCCCTCCAGCGGTTGATTTAGTAATAACAGGATAAACTTAAAAATTAAAATTTTATTTGCAATTTAAGGCACGTTTAATTTATACAGTTGGTTTCATTCAACAACATTCTTTCTGTAGTCTAACCTGTACATAGATGCAGATAAAATATATACATGTTCATGTTATGTTAAGGCATATGGAGTCTCTGGTGCTTTTAACATATAAACCTTGTGTTCTGGTGACTAAAAACGTGTTTTATCCAAAGAATGACGAAGACTTGTATAACAGCGGCAGTTGTCCCCAACAATTAGCAAACTGGAAAATCCAAACTAATTCCAGTTTCATTTTCAAACCATTGAAACGACTTAAAAGTGCCCAATAGTTTTTTCATCATTTTTACAAATATGTTATTTTACAATAAGTCTTATTGAATATTGATGTGTTCATTTATGCTGAGAGATACTAAAATGTTTTTTAAACCACAACTAAAAGCCCCAGAATAAGCAGACTCCCCCTACTGACTGATATGTAGTGATTATTGCTCGGAGTTAAAGCTCAAATAAGACCTTCTGTGGCTTTTAGCACCCATCACACTCCATTCTTCCCTCTGCTGTTACAGGCAGAATAAGGTGTGAGATACGACTCCACAGTCCACCATATTTATCAAGATCCATGCTGTCAAAAGACACAGGGTGGCCGTGAGAGAGAAACTTCTTCTGCAGATGGTCGTCCACCATCTCCTCCACAATGCTCAGGTGAGTCTCGGCAGGGATGTCCTTCTCCTCGCCCAGCAGCACCGTAAAGATCAAAAAAGTATTTTTGTAAGCAGCGTTCTCGTGGTCGCAGTAGCGATAAAAGATGAGCGTGGAACCCGGGGGCAGCTCTTCAAAGCGGTGGATGACAGCCACGTGTTTGTCTCCCTCAAAAGCTCCCTGGAGCTTGTTGTCGATGTCCAGTTTGACTTGATCACTGTCTTGGCTGGCTTTGCTAGCTCCATCAATGCGGAGGACGGAGGAGTTGATAGCAGAGGAGAAAGCGTCGGACAGACTATGAGCCAGGCAGCACAGCGTCCTCTCAGCGCCGAGGCCGGCAGTCAGAATCAGACTCACCGGCTCGGTCGGCTGGGAGGTCTGGAGGTGCCTTTTCAGGTGGATCCTGCTCCTGTCCCAGAACTCTGAGCGCTGGTTGGGATACTGAGTCATCAATTTTTCCATCTTGTTCAGGAAGTCGTCTATATGCCGTTGATTGTTTTTGGGAGGTGGAGTTTTTGGCTGGGAGAAATGCTGCATCAAGATGGCAACAAGTACCACTAGAACCACCATGGCCATCACAAATCCTTTACTTCCTAAAGATAGAGACAGGAGGCTGAATGTTAATATTATTTTAGATAATTTGTCCTTGTTCATCATGTAATAACATAACATTTTTCTGGAATGAAATGGCTGATTGGCTTAATTAAAATATAGATTTTCTAGTAATATTTTAAATGAGAGTAAGTACAGTCAGGTCCATAAATATTGGGGCATCGACACAATGCTAACATTTGTGGCTCTATACACCACCACAGTGGATATCAAATGAAACGAACAAGATGTGCTTTAACTGCAGACTGTCAGCTTTTATTTGAGGGTTTTTACATCCAAATCAGGTGAACGGTGTAGGAATTACAACAGTTTGCATATGTGTGTGGTTAAGGGACCAAAAGTAATGGGACAATTGGCTTCTCGGCTGTTCCATGGCAAGGTGTGTGTTATTCCCTCATTATCCCAATTACAATGAGCAGATAAAAGGTCCAGAGTTCATTTCAAGTGTGCTATTTGCATTTGGAATCTGTTGCTGTCAACTGTCAAGATGAGATCCAAAGAGCTGTCACTATCAGTGAAGCAAGCATCATTAGGCTGAAAAAACAAAAGAAACCTATCAGAGATAGCAAAAATATTAGGCGTGGCCAAAACAACAGTTTGAAACATTCTCAAAAAGAAGGAACGCACCGGTGAGCTCAGCAACACCAAAAGTCCCGGAAGACCACAGAAAACAACTGTGGTGGATGACTGAAGAATCCTTTCCCTGGTGAAGAAAACACCCTTCACAACAGTTGGCCAGATCAAGAACACTCTCCAGGAGGCAGGTGTATCTGTGTCAAAGTCAACAACCAAGAGAAGACTCCACCAGTGTGAATACAGAGGCTTCACCACAAGATGTAAACCATTGGTGAGCCCCAAAAACAGGAAGGCCAGATTAGAGTTTGCCAAACAACATCTAAAAAAGCCTTCAGAGTTCTGGAACAACATCCTATGGACCGATGAGACCAAGATCAACTTGTACCAGAGTAATGGGAAGAGAAGAGTCTGGAGATGGAAAGGAACTGTTCATGATCCTAAGCATACCACCTCATAAGTGAAGCATGGTGCTGGAAGTGTCATGGCGTGGGCATGTATGGCTGCCAGTGGAACTGGTTCTCTTGTATTTATTGATGATGTGACTGCTGACAAAAGCAGCACGATGGATTCTGAAGTGTTTCGGGTAATATTATCTGCTCATATTCAGCCAAATGCCTCGGAACTCATTGGACGGCGCTTCACAGTGCAGATGGACAATGACCCGAAGCATACTGCAAAAGCAACCAAAGAGATTTTGAAGGGAAAGAAGTGGACTGTTTTGCAATGGCCAAGTCAATCACCTGACCTGAATCCGATTGAGCGTGCATTTCACTTGCTGAAGACAAAACTGAAGGGAAAATGCCCCAGGAACAAGCAGGAACTGAAGACTGTTGCCGTAGAGGCCTAGTAGAGCATCACCAGGGATGAAACCCAACGTCTGGTGATGTCTGTGTTCCAGACTTCAGGCTGTAATTGACTGCAAAGGATTTGCAACCAAGTATTGAAATGTATAAGTTTGATTTATGGTTCTTATTCAGTCCCATTACTTTTGGTCCCTTAACAAGTGGGAGGCACATATGCAAACTGTTGTAATTCCTACACCGTTCACCTGATTTGGATGTAAAAACCCTCAAATAAAAGCTGACAGTCTGCAGTTAAAGCACATCTTGTTTGTTTCATTTGATATCCATTGTGGTGGTGTATAGAGCCACAAATGTTAGCATTGTGTCTATGTCCCAATATATGGAGAGAAATTCCATAATGACCTGTAAGAATCTCTGATGTTGGCAAATCAGCAGCTTCTGCAGTGGTTGGGCCAAGAGTGTCGATATTTGTTTGTCTCTTCGACTCTACCACAGGCACCTCCTGTAGAGGACGTTGTTGTAGCGAGCGTGGGGTCTGCCGTTTGTCTGGTTCTTCTAAAGCCGAGGCATTTTCATCTGTAACAAAACGCAAAAAAATCCATCAAGTCTCTTTAAAGCTTTCATCCACATGCTCCAAACCCCAAATAATCACCAGACTGAGTTTTCAGAGGGATAAGCCTCACCATCACAACTTTCTGTGTCTGTGTTGGTCGAAAATTCTTCATTCATCTCCGCTTTGGGTCCATCGATGTCCTTCTCTCCCTTGTCTGGTACTTGTGATCCTCCAGCCTTCTTTCTGATGTGATTTTCCTCTGAATAAACAGAAGTTTACTCAGCAGTTATCCTAAGTGGTTTTTATATTTGGATTTAAAGAATAGCTGTAAAATAACTCATTTAGATTTTGAAAGCTGAGAGTACTTAAGAGAAATAAGAACCTGCTGTATCACTTGGACAGTGACCATGGTTAGTGTCGGCCCTCTTATGTTCTAGTGACTCTCCTTTGCAATCTCCATGAATTTCCATATGAGGTTGGCGAGTTGCTTTCATATCTGTATTAAATAAATTTTCCCCATGATCTGAAATCGCATCTGTAAAAAAACAGAAATTAGGTGTGACCCAAATTGATATTTTACCAGTAAAGATTTCATTTTCCAAGAAAGAAATTTACCCCGTGGCTCTGAACCCAAAAGATCGCCAGTCAACGAGTTTTCAGAGAGATGAGACTGACGTTTTTCTTCCTCTGTTGTGCCTTTGGTCGGGTCTTTCTTGTCTGATGTTTGTGAAGCGGTTGTTTCCTTCCTGTTTTGGTCTTTCTCTGAATGAAGAGGAAACTTTAGCTAACAGTCTAATCACTTGTGTTTTCTTCACTTGTATTTAATCATATTCTATAAATGAATCAAAAAGTTCAGCTCTCCTAGTAAGTGAATTAATCTAAAAACTACAAATAGTGGTAGAAATAAGAACCTGCTGTAGCACTTGGACAGGAAGTCTTCCCAGAGAGTGGGTCAGTTTTCTTATGACCTGGTGACGCTACATCGTAATCTGCGATGTTATTAGATTTCTGAGAGATTTCTTTGGTGATTTTATGTAAATGTTCACCGTCATCTGAAATAGCATTTACAGGCAAAACATAAATTAGGTTAGAGAATTTAGAGGCTATTACATTTCATCAATACAGTTTATATAAACACATATTTATTGCAAACCTAATGAGTCATATACGTTTTCTTTAATTATTACCATTTGATGGTTGCTGCTTTGCATCCAGATCCACTGTTTTGAGTACATTAACCATTTGTGTTTTTTCCTCGCCATCTATATAAAAACATGTTTATAAGAGGTTTTACTCATTTTGTAAATACAACTTACGATCCTGTTAATAACTGTAACAGTTATTTTATATCATACCTGTTTTAGCATCCTCCATGGGCAGACAGTCAATATCTCCGCTCCCTTCTTCCTCTGCCATGTCTCTGGGTAGTTCAACTTCGCTCTGGGGTTCACTGTATGGTTCAAAAACATAAAACCATAAGTATTAAAGCTAATTTGCTTTCACTACTAAAACACAAGCTGATTTATCTTTTTAATCTGTCGTTCAAAGTTCAAAGTGACGTTGTAAAGCAGCTGCTGCTGCTGTCACAGAGAAAATATTAAGCTAAACTGTAAAACACTCAACTCTCACTTAAGTTTTCTTATTTACAGTCCAGAGTAAAAAAAACTAATAGTTGAACATCAACGTTTAAACAACCAGAATAAGTTTAGTTCACGCTTCCCAGGCGTTAGAGGAACATTTAATTGTAAAGCACTTAGCTGCGATCATACTCTGTAAGAAAACGTAACCAGGTCAGATATCTCACTGAGCTGGAAAAGAAGCTTTAACAATATAAATTAATCGGACGTAAAATGTAGTTAAACCTTATTAATTAGTAAGGGGGTGGACGACTAGTACGCCTGTTAGCCCAGTTAGCTTCGGCTAAGACGCTAATTTAGCTAATATTAGCAAAGCAAGATTATTCTGTAAAATATAGGCTTGAGCATTAAAAACGTAATAATCTTAAAAACTGGTTAATATAAAACCATTACCAGTTCGTAACATAAGTACTCAACACATTTCCGTGGACTATGAAGTTTCCCCTATCTCCAGTTACGTGTGTCAGCCGGTGTCAGCTGATAAATGTTGTCTTTCTACAGTAGCGGAACCTTCAGCACTGTCCTTGTTTCTGGAAACCGTTAAAACTAAACGGACGCATTTCCTGTAGAAATTCCCCTCTAAATTTCAGGGAAGTGTGCCACTTCGTCTACATGATGCTCCAGTTTATTGTTTAATTTATATTTTTCGTCGTCAATCCGGTCGTTTAGAGGTCAACTATAGATCCAAAGATGTCAAAAATTACGGCCACCAACCCCCCGAGACGCTCGACTCGGCATTTAGGGAGAGGTGAGTAAACTGTCCACCAGCTAGCCTAGTTTTCCTAGCTTGTTGCTCCACTTCTTTTGAAAACAAAACACAGACGAGTGCCTGTTGTAGTTACGTTCTGTGAATTTCATTGATGGAAATTGTTGTTGAGAAAGTGATCTGCGTTACAAAATGCGTGTAATTGTGTATTTTATTATTGGTTGGGTTTAACTTTTTTTAATCTGTGCAGCACTTTGGTCGGCTGCCATGCTGTTTTTAACCCTTACTCAACGTTTAAATTTTCTAACGTTAAAGTCATTTGAGCACAAAAAAATGCACTTACAAAGCTTCCCATAGAAATATAATATAATATTTTATAAGTCCCAATTTTTTTTACAAGAATTTCATCCTTGGCTTCAGCCCTAACAAAATGTGTGTGTTTCTCAGAATTAACCCCTTCATTGCCAGGTTTATTATCAAAACCAGAAGTTTGAAAACTACAAAAAATTAAAAAAAAAAATCAAATAATTTTTTGTGTGTTATGTCCAGATTACCTTTTTTGTGGGTAAGTTGTCACAGCCTTGGAGTGTCACAAATAGGCATAAAAATATTTTTTGCTCACTTTGTAGTTTTTGTGTGATGTCATATTTTCTAAAATACTCACGTTAAAGTCCTTTGAGCACAAAAAATGCACTTACAAAGATGGCCAGTTGAACACTATTAAAGCACATGAACAGAGAGACAGACAGACAGACAGAGAGAGAGAGAGACTGCGCTTTGGTGTGTTGCTCACCGCGGTGGAGGTGAAGGCAAAGAGGGAGGACAGAACCGCTCTGCTTCTCATCTGCAGCAGCTGTGGGGGCTGCCCTGGCTTGTTTTGCCTAACTGTTCCCACAAGACACATTTTATTTTGGAGCAGCTCTTCTCCAAGGGCTAGTGATGTGAAAAAATTGTCCATGGTGACAGTGCAGCCGCTCAGTCCCTCCGTGAGCTCCAGCACCACCCGCCTCCCTTGCTCCCTTTCTGCCGGGGCATCTTACGTCATCTTGCCCAGGTAGGGAATAATACCCCAGGCATAAGAGGCCACACTGCACACCACCCACAGCTTGATGCCATAGTTTGCCGGCTTTGAGGGCATATACTACTTGGAAGTTGCAGCGACCTCTGAATCCGACGAGCTGTTCATCCACACATACATCTTCACCGGGGTTTTAGGCAAGAGGTAGCCGGCCCACCCGGAAGTCCCACACCTCCAGGAGGGGAGCGAGCTTGTACTGCTGCACCAACCGGCGTGCTGCCCTCAAGCAGTCACCAAACCGCACTGTTGCCGTCAACAAATGGAACCTTCGCAGGCTCATTGTGGCTCTGAAAATCGGCCTCTCCGTTTCCTTCCCCCAGAGGCTTGCAGTAGATTCCCCCAGGAACGGAGCACCCCCAGCGGGGACAAGCAGCCCAAGAAATGTGTGGAGTTCCACGTTGTCAACATCCATCCAGTTGTCATACTTTCTCCTCCCCTCTATAGTAGTGTGTTTAATTATTATATCAAGGATTGTTCTTGTTTAAAAAAAATCGAAGCTGTCCGCGAAGCGGGTGATCCCTCGACGGTGGAAGTGTGAGGCCGACAGAGAATCCTGATGTCAGGTGTTGATCTGCATTCAAACTTCTTCTCATGCTTGCGGCAGAAAGAAATTAATCTGGATCTGAGTCTCAAATGTACTTTTAGTCAATTGGTGCACCTGTGTAAACTGACCCTAATTGTATGTAAACAAAACTCGGCTCTGCAGGATTTTTTTTTTGCAAATCAAATGTACGCCTTTGAAGTTTTTCAGCCTTCATCTTAACTTTCATCCATGCAAATGCTTTGTGCTTGTTGAAATAATAATTTGCAAAAGTAAAATTGTGAGTGAGTATCTGAAATTTTGCAAGAAATCCTTAGTTTTTTATATAGTGCATTAGGGCTGCAACAAACGATTATTTGGATAATCGATTAATCGGATGGGGTCTCGACACGATTAATCGATTAATCGGATTACATGGGGAAATTTTTAAAAACTGCTAGGGAAACGTTATTTCTCTCCTTCCTTCACTTTATTTAACACAACATTATTAGAAAACAGTTCAATAGCAGAAAAACAACATGCCATCACCTAAATTGTCTTATAAGGTGTATAGACAGAGACCCTAAGCTACATCTATCTGTGACCTAAAATGCTTGGTCCAAGTTAAACAGCTTAAGGGCAATTCTCATCTGTTTTTTTTTATCTCATCTGTTAACATTTATTTTAAATGTAATTAAACATAGGCTGTGAATTAATCAAAATTGATCACTATTTCCAAAACTGACTGAAAAAATACCAAATAAAACAAAAGTAAATGAATGCCATCCTCCTTGCGATGATGCCCTGGGCAACTGCCATAAAGTGACATCAAGAAATGCTGCTGATCATTCCAATGATCCCAAATAGACTCACATTAGGCCACATGAAAGCAACTGAACCCAAAAATATATTAACCAGTATATAACTGCACTCTCACACAACACGCCTGCAGCAACAGTTAGGACTCCTCCCTCCCTTTTAAAAGCGGTTTTGCTTCTGAGGACATTGTGGTTGTAAAACCACATGCTAGTAGTCTGGCCCCGGTGTGATCAACCAGTTTCTGCGGGAATGTGACGGCGGAACCAGGGCCAGATTAACACTTTGTTGTACCCTGGGCAACAATATTTAAGGGCCCCATCATCACGACCCAAGGATCACCATAATGTGGTCACATACAGAATATTTTACTGTGATATGCAGTAAATATACTCAATACTTGAATGCCTGACAACACGTAACCCGCCCAGGGTAACCTTTGACCCACCTCGTGTGGACTGACCAATGAGGAGAGGGTCTTAACTTGAGGCCCTCTCTTCATTGGTCAGTCTGCATGAGACTGACTCTCAACTGACATTCAGTCGTAGGCAGCGAAGCGTCTCTGTGCAGTGCAAAAGCCCGGGTGGACAGTTTGTTTAATATAGGGTGACCATATTTCCATTTCCAAACAAGAGGACAGGGGATCTGTGCCTATGACGTCACACTATGGCAACGCCACACAAACCATGTTGGGACCCATTTTTTGTAAGAACTAAATTAATATCAGATTCTGCCAATTAAAGGGCTCTAAAACAATTCATATGTAAATATTTTGCATATTTAATGCAAAATCTAATTTTTCTGCTTTAGTGCTGCAACAAGGTTTTATTAATAATAAATTATTATACCTTTTGTTTTACTACAGCATCGGTAAGCTTCCTGTGCACAGATTATTAAGGATGCTTGTTTCAGCTGTGAGATTAGACGATAGGGTCAATGAAAAAATAAGTTGTCACACACTCCATGGAAACTTTCAGAGAATCCACAAATAGTGGCTTTCAAATGGTTTTGTTACTTTTAGCAGGTTTAGAAAAGCAGCAGATGAGACAGCATGTCTGATAATTTAGTTTTTCATCTGATAATATTAGAACATGTCAGTAATGTCTGAGGGGCTTTTATAAACACCATATAACTAACACTACTGGAGAGGGTATGAATTACACAGAGGCTTCTGGGGAGCCCAGTTATTGGGGGGGGGGGGGGGGGGGGGCATTTTGCCTTGGCCCCCAAAATGTCTTGAAACGGCCCTGGGTGTGTGACTGAGTTTTGAAGGTGATCTGAATTGTATCAGATGTATAAATATGACATGTGTATAACTTATTGTTTTTTACTGGTAAAAACGTGTCTTGGAGATAAATCTACCTACATTTGACTTTTCAACACTTTGTTTTGTTTTCTTGTTTTTATTTAACTATTTTCCTGTCCTGCCTCTCATCTTCCTGCATCTCCTCATAATTCTCCAGAAAATCTGTTGCCTGGATTCTTAACTTTTCACCTCATCAGTTACTTTTGAGCAGATCAAAGGGATCTCCTGACCGAAAAGCGCAGAGCGCGTTTTCGATGCTGCGTGAGGTGACATCACCACAGCACAGGTGATGAGCTCCACAGTAGCGAGCTCCAGGCACAAATAAGACAGAAAATAGAGAATATGTGCGGACATGAACGATCGTGTGCTAATTATAGTTTTTTGGTTGCGCCACTTTGAGAATGGACCGTGCGCTGGAAGCAGCTGCCTGGATCGCTGCGCGACAATGCGGAACCGGTTCGCAGCAGCGCAAGTCTGCCGGCTCTCCCTCGCGCTGATCTGCCGGTACCGGCTCTCCCTCGCGCTGATCTGCGGCTCTCCCTCGCGCTGATCTGCGGCTCTCCCTCGCGCTGATCTGCGGCTCTCCCTCGCGCTGATCTGCGGCTCTCCCTCGCGCTGATCTGCGGCTCTCCCTCGCGCTGATCTGCCGGTACCGGCTCTCCCTCACGCTGATCTGCGGCTCTCCCTCGCGCTGATCTGCGGCTCTCCCTCGCGCTGATCTGCCGGCTCTCCCTCGCGCTGATCTGACTTGCTCTGGTCTGCGCGCAACGGCGGGCAGGAGGGGGGGGGGGGGGGGGGCGCTTTTGGAAGAGTTGTGCGACACAACGAATCGATGACGCAATTCGTTGCCAACGCTTTTAGTAATCGATTTTCATCGAATTTATCGATTCGTTGTTGCAGCCCTAATGCCAATATTTATGCTAGTTAGAAAAATATGATTTACATGAAAGTCAATGGCACAAAAAAGCTTAAATATGCTGAACTGTACAAAATGATTTCCACGTTTTAATAAAGTAGGTTGAATATTTTTTCAAACTTTTTTTTGTAATTCCTTCCAAAATACACATCCTCCATAAAAATTAGATAAATTGCATTAACATAGCAAAAGTTATTCACAAAAATACACGTGTCAGCACAAAAAATGCTTTAATGTGAGGTAAGGTTTAAATGTGCTTTATAAATAAATTTAGTATCATGCTTGTCCCTTTTCCCCACACAGCGTTAAGCGTTGAACCCACCCCCAGGGAGCCCATAAAGCGAACCAAAAGGCCATCAGAAGACCGATCTGCTGCTGCAGTTAAAGGTACCAGGGAGGTGGAGAATGGCTTGGAGGATGAGGGTGAGTACAGAAAGAAATTACTTGATAAAGTAATTAATGTGCCAAATATTGCATCCAACAAAATAAATAATTTTCTCTAATAATTTAGTTATTTTGTGTCACATAAGTCATTATACATCATTTTCAACATTATTAATTGAACATTACTATTATTTATTTTACCATTTATTTTCGATCCTATTATTTGATTTCTTTTGTATTTGATTATTTTTCTAAAAAAAATTTATTGCTTGTGTTTCATACATATTTTATTTACTTTCACATCTGTTGAAAATGACAAACGGATATTAATCTGTGTCACATTATTTGATGAAATAACTTGGGGAAAGATTTGTTTTGCTGCAATGTTTGATGCATTTATTGCTTTTGAAATCAAAGCTGAAGACCCATTTTTATGATCTGGCTTTTAACTCTGATGATTCAAAATTCTTACTGTTTAATTTCTTGTATTGTTTTACTAACTTATATTAGATTTTATGTGTTGTTTTTACTTGTGTCTGTGAAGCACTTTGGTGCCGTGTTTGTGCTATATGAATAAAGTTTAAGTTTGATCAGGTGGAAATCGGGTATTTCTATATTTATTGCCATTTTTGTCATCAATCGGTTCTCCAAAGTTGTTTTTAACAGAAACAATAATTATGATAATCACCTTTAATTAGATATTTCACCTCTTTTCTTCTTAACAGACTCCCCCAGTAAGAAGCCTCGATTGGATGCTTTAGAAGCAGATGGGGATGGCACAGATGAAAATGAGATGGAGGTTCAGGAACCAACCAAAGAACGGCAAAAGAACGAGGACCAAGAAATGAACACTGAAGAGGTTCCATCAGATGAAATCTGGCTACCAAAAACAGGCAAAGGTCAGAATCACGAAAAACATTTCTCTAATGAATAAATCACATTGTCAGTAACGTCTGAAAATGTTTGGCTTGAAAGAAAAAAAAAGATTTTAAAAAAGGCTATTGCAGTTTTTTTTAAATGATTTTCAGTTTTCTGTTTGTTTTACTGGTTTTTACATTAATTACACAGCAAGAACTAAAGTTATTTTTTAAATCTAAATCCTAATATGATACAGAGAGTTTTATTTACATTCTATTATTTGGTTATTTTCTGCACACAGTGTAATGAATATTAGTTTTTATCTTCTTTATTTATTTATTTATTTGCTGATTATTACGCTGTGTGCAGAAAAGAACCAAATAATGGAATTTGATAAACAGCACTGAGCAGACGTAAAAAAGAGTTTCATTCACTTTTTCTTTCTATGACCAATAATGCAGCAAAACATTTAGCTTTATTTTGCAGGAAGATCATCATCATTTAGTTGGTTGTTGTTTTTATATATATGTACAAATGTATGCATCTGGTTTGAAAATTAAAGCTTTGTATTAAATATGAAGCTGTACTAAGAGCATTGTATTATGTATGTAAAATGATTCATGCTCCATAGATTTTATCATATCAAAAGACGTTGACAGTTTTGGCCTCTGTGCATAAAACAGGCGCCATCGGAGATGTGAATTTATCACCTTGTGTCTTCCTCGGTGAACGCTGCCCAGTGAGCCATTCACTAAAGGAGGATTCAAAGTGTGTGAAACAGAAAACGGGTAGGAAAAACAATCTAACAGGAATAAGACTGTCTGCGGATGCATAGATAAAGTGTTGCATTTGTTTAGAACTAAACTCGCTGTTTTTTTACAGCGGTAATTAAAGATCTGGCACCCCCACACAAGTCAGCTTTCCAAGTCAGATCCCCAGAAAAAAGACACGATGTGCCGATCAGGAGCATGGCCGATTATAGGAGGACGCTGGAGGCCAAAGTTGAGATCACAGGTACTGATTGTTCTGCAATATTTAAAGTTTGATTCAAGAATGTTTTTCTCAGCACCTGTTGAATGGAATTTTATTTTGTTAAAGTTTTTACCAACCAGTTAAACATTTTTTTTTTTTTAGATAAGCCAAAAGTTAACCACTCTTATCGAACTGCAGTCCCGGTTTTAGAGAAGCCGTACACAACCAGACAACGTGTAAACCACATTCCAGCACAAAAGCAGACCATTCAGCTCCCAAAAAAAGGTATTTCAGCATCAGAACTGTAACTGAATGAGATGTTAGTATTTTCACTGATGTGAGATTGTCACTTTTAGAAGCAGCTAAGAAAACATCTGGAACCTCTGAGAATTCCTGTAGAGGTGATCTATTTGTTTCATTTCTGCCTTTGAGCCAAAGTTCAGTTTTATTTGCTACCATGAAATTGAAACATGTTTTTTTTTTTTCAGGATTTATGTGGTACTTATGGCGTTTGGTTTTTCTGCTGCTGCTTAGCTCCGCCACCTTGCTGGCATACTCAATCATTCCTGAACTCCAGAGGTCAGCCGTTAGAGTGGATTATGGATCCAGAGAAGTGAAGCCTGAAATGTTTTTGGAACATTTGTTTGTTCTTGAAACTCAGTTCCCCAGTCAGCGAGTTGATTTGTGGAAGAGGAGCAAAATCCACCTCGAAAAGCACCTTAAATCAGCCCATCCAACCGGACCAGTCAGTCTGATGTTAGCTGCAGGTGTCAAAGCAGAAAGGACGCTGCGCTGCTTGGCTCATGGCCTGGCTTCCACCTACTCATCCGCCCTCAATGCCTCCGTTTTCTACCTGGATGGACAAAGCAAAGTCGGCCAGGACAGCGACGAAGTAAAGCTGAACATCGACAACCAGCTGCGAGCAGCTTTTGAAGGAGACAAACCAGTGGCAGTCATTCATCGGTTTGAAGAGCTGCCTCCAGGTTCTACTCAGATTTTTTATCGCTACTGTGACCACGAGACCGCGGCATACAAGCAGGTGTTCTTATTGTTTACGGTGGTGCTGCCTCAAGATGAGATCAGCAGTGAGATGAACCTGGAGCAGGTGGAGGAAAGTGTGCATGACTATACTGAAGAAAAACTGGTGAGCTCCAAGAGAAATTCAGCCTATAATCAAATGGATACTGACAAGTTTAGTGGACTGTGGAGTCGGATCTCCCATCTGGTTTTGCCCGTGGTGTCGGAGAATAGGGTAGGGCAGGGAGAATGTCCGTGAAACCGTACATTTCATGTTTTAACAGGTTCTACGCTGTGGAAACATGTTATTTTCTGCATTCTGACTCAGTTTAAAGTGCTTAAATGATGCATTACTCTGTTAGAGATGAGTTCCTACTTGAGTTGTCACTCAGGTTTTAAAAGGAATATAAGTGAGCATGAAAAGGATTAGCATCATTTCATTTACTACATGTTGTATTGTTTTATTAGTCTTGAACGTGTTCTGTGAGTTTATTTTTTTTTTTGTATTGTCTGGCACTGCTCATCTGCTGTTTTTATGTATTTTCCATCTTCCCATTAAGGATCAAACTTATGTTAGTCTAAAAGTTGTCACTTTGTGCACATGCTTTTTGTTTCATGTTTATCTGGAGAGTTATTGGATCTGCAATATATTCACTTCATTTTTTTACTGACTCACACTGAAAAGCACTGAAAATATCTATTTTTGCTTTAAGAAGCTCTTATCCAGAGGACAGCTTTTTATATTGTCTAATTTTAGGAAAATTACAAAAATTAATCTGATGTTTCTTAGATGGGAATATTTTTGACAGCTGTTCATATTGGATATAAAAAGTTTGACTGTTTTTCTTTTTTAAATCAGTAAAATATAAATGAAATGAGTTGTACATTTTAAGGATTTGCATGAAGTGATAACATTCTAAAGAATATTTTTGACTGAAAAAATCAGACACAAAGTGTGCCTTAAATACACGTAAACATAAAATTGTTAAAAAGCTCAGAACATTTGTGCATAATCTAATATTGTAATTGTTGCTTATTGTAATTGTTGCTTAAAAATATGTTAAATATTTTATATACTATTGTTTCCTGTGTTATGACTTTTTCTTGTTATTTCTCCTAAGATCAGTTTTTCCTTGACTTTGAAAAGTTTGGATGTTCTCAATAAAGTTTATTTTGATACTTCTGGAATGTTTGTTTTTTCATCTTACCTCTTTAGTGGTCTAGTGGAAGAATTTCCACCCTGGGACTGGGAAATGGGTTCAAATCCACGGTCAGGTCCTACAAAACACTTGGGACCCAAAGTCTCCCCACCCACTTGACACTCAGATTTAAGGGATTGGGGGGGGGGGGGGGGGAATTAAAGCACCAAATAGTTCCCAAGCACAGCCACAGCTGCATCTCACCGCTCCCTATGAGGATGGGTCAACTGCGGTGATTTCTTTAGTCTGATGATGACTAATGTGTATATCATTTAGAATCAGGAAGCATCACAAGTGACATTTTTAAAGAAGACGAATCAAAATTTATTTAGCGCCTCTCAATACAAAGATCACGAGGGGCTTCAGACGAGCAAAGTTGACCTCATCTGTCTGGACAGATGTGTGGGAAACAGTTTTACTTGTGCTTTTTTTTATATAAGGTATCAGGTGAAAACTGTTCAGATAAGAAACCAGGAAGCTAAAACTTAATAGAACGGAAGATCAATCATTTACCACAAACACCGAGTGAGTCACAATTACAGAACAGAATAGTTGAGAAGTCAGTTTTATGTTTGTGATCACATATTTTATTAGCTGTTTGCACAAGACTAGAACAGCACTCATGTTCCACCTAAAGCTGTTCCCTAATTGGGTTCAAGGAACAAGGAAGTTATAGCATGTTGAGTCACAGCCAAGGCTAATATTCAGGTAATGCTCAATCTGACCACCCTCCAGGAAGGCTGTTAAAATAAAACGGAGTAAATAATATGAACAGTAGTTTCAATAACAGTTAACACAAAAAAAACAACACACACACACTCCACAAGGTCGCCCAAACAGGAGAAAGATCAGTGCTTCGGTGTAGGCTGGTCCTCTTGAGCCAATTCTTATCATCTGATGCATCCCCCCCATGGGTTACACTGCTACAGCGTTTAAGATAGAAGCATGCTGGAGTAAGACTTTAACAGTTTAAAGAGTAAGTTTGTAGAAGTGAAGAAAGTATCATGTTTTCAGCAAGCGCTTATTGATATTTGAAAGACAAATAAGTGAAATTGAAAGTGCTGGATTGCATTCTGACCTCCCTGGCCTAGTTCTTCTGAATCACAAACAGTCCAACAGTAACAGCTACAGAAAAGGCTGTGGTCCCGACCAAGAACATCACAGAAACACCTGTGATGAAAACTTGGACTACAGACTTCAGCAGAGGGTGTGTGAGGGCAAAGAGAAAAGTAAGGCAAAATTTGTTAATCCTCGTTCATCTTGGTAATAATTTCCAGCAAATTGTTGTTTTATTGTAGGAGCAGGGATTTACCTTATATTTTTGTGGTCCACTTCCTTGTGAATTATCTATAAGGTGACAGAAAAAGCTTTAGAGTTTTTCTTTAACATAAACATCCAAAGCTGGTGTCATGCAGATGTGTAACAACTCTGTTACCTTTTTTACACATTTGTTTTATCCTTCCCTTGTTAGCAGTCAGTCCAACATCCCAAACAAGGCTCAAGAACATCCATCCTGTGTACATAGCCATTACGTACAGACGCCATGACGTCGTCATGATTTCCCCCCGGTCATCCATCGAGCTGATAACTCCGAGGAAGATGAGAGCATCTGAGAGAAGAAATGACTGGATTCAGTCAGATCAATAAATAGGTGAACTAAATATTATTTTTTTTCCATCCATCCATCCATCCATCCAATTATACAGGGTCGGGTCACAGGGGCAGTAGTCTAAGCAGAGAGGTCCTGACTTCTCTTTCCCTAGCCACTTGGGCTAGCTCCTCCAGGGAAATCCTAAGGCGTTCCCTGGCAAGCAGTGAGAGATAATCTCTCCAGCGTGTCCTGGTTCTTCCTTTAGGTCTTCTCCCAGTTGGACGTGCCCAGAAAACCTCACCAGGGTTAGGGTTAGGGTAGGAACTTAGATCAACCGGTAAATCGAGAACTTTGCCTTCAGCTCCATCTTCACCATGACGGATCGGTACAATGCCCGTATCGCTGCAGATGCAGGACCAATCAGCCTTTAGCTCCGTTAACTTATATTAATATTTTCATTCTTCCAGGAACCCATGAGCCAACTGGAAAGGGAGGGGGCTTAGGCTTGGCGGAATCCAACTCTCACCGGAAATGAGCTCGGCTTACTGCTGGCAATGTGGACGAAGCTCTGACACCAGTCATATAGGGACCTAACAGCCCATATCAAACAGCCTGGTACCCCATACTCCTGGAGTCGTCCCCCCCCCCCCCCCCCCCCCCTCTCTGACAGGAGACTCCGCCAGACATTCCCAGCAGACCCTCCCAATACATTTGGGCCTGCATCTTCCCCAACCGTCAAAGCCAACTCACAACCAGGTAGTGGTGACAGCTCTGCCCCTCTCTTCAGTGACCAAGATATGCAACCACAGATCAGAGGAAACAACAACATAGTCGATCATTAAGCTGCGGCCTAAGGTATCCTGGTACCAAGAGCCCATATGGACACCTTTATGTCTAAACCTGGTTTTCATTATGGACAATCCATGACGAGCACAGAGGTCCAGTAACAACACAATGCTAAGATTCAAATTGGGGGGGTTCACTCCTCCCACCCCACCTCTCCAGGTCTCACTGTCATTGCCCACACAAGAGTTTAAGTCCCCCAGCAGAATGAGATAGATTTTTTAAAATAAAAATGTGGCACTTTGTTGTTGTAAGTCAAGCTTGTTCCCGGTGAGAGTTGGACTCCACCGAGGCTGCCCTTTCTCACAGATTCTGTTCATAACTTTTATGTATAGGATTTCTAGGCGCAGCCAAGGTGTTGAGGGGATCCGTTTTAGTGACCTGAGGATCGAGTCTCTGCTTTTGCAGATGATGTGGTCCTGTTGACTTCATCAGACCATGATCTTGGGCTTTCGCTGGAGCGGTTCGCAGCCAAATGTGAAGCAGCCGAGATTAGAATCTGAGGGAAAGCTGGAGCGCGAGATCGATACACGGATTGGTGTTTGCAGTGATGCGGGCGCCGTACCGGTCTGGCAAAGCTCTTGATTTACTGGTTGATCTACATTCCTACCCTCACCTGTGGTCACAAGCTTTGGGTAGTGACCGAAAGAATGAGATCGCGGACACAAGCGGCCAAAATGAGTTTTCTCCACAGTGTGGCTGGGCTCTCCTTTAGCCCCAAGAGGGGCTAGGAGTAGACCCACTGCTCCTCCACATCGAGAGGAGCCAGGTGAGGTAGCTCAAGCATCTGATTAGGATGCCTCCTGGACGGCTCCCTGGTGAAGTTTTCCGGGCACGTCCAACCAGGAGGAGGCCTAAATGGAGACCCAGGACACATTGGAGGGATTATGTCTCTCGACTTGCCAGGGAACACCTTGGGATTTCTCCCGGAAGAGCTGGACCAAGTGGCTGGGGAAAGGGAAGTTTGGGCCTCTCTACTTAGGCTGCTGGCCTCTCGACCCGACTCCGGATTAGCAGAAGAAAATGGGTGGATGGATGGATGAATGGATGAAAAAAATGTGGCAAAGATTTGTCTAAGTTTTCAGAATCAATGGCGTTTGTGTTGAGGATGCACACTTTGCTTTCATAAAAGCTGCACTGAGTCACAATTTAAAAGGAGTTCAACAAGAGGCTTCTGGAAATGGGGACATGGTTGTACATGATTAAATGTATTTATTCTGTAGCTACTGTGGTGTTGAGTTTCACCCAAAGTCTAACTTTTGCTTTGTCTTATTCCGCCAAAAATTATTTTCACAAAATAAAATCAGAATCCAGGTTGATTTGGATCAGAAGAGTCCACTTACTTGAGCAGACATGATGGAGAACAGAACACACCTGAACAAAAAGGTCAAGGACTTCATTTCTACAACAAAGCAGAAGTGAATCAAACCCTGCCGCACTAAAATATTTCTGAGTCAAATCCAACAGATTTTTTAAACAAAAATAAATTAACTTACAGTTCATGGCTGGGTCCTAAAGGCAGCAATGCAATCACAAACTCGATTAAATTAATTCCCAACACTGCACCAGCAAGAGCAGCAAAAGAAACCTAAAAATACACATTCAACACACTTTAAATAAAAAAAAACTTTAGACAATCTAGATGTGCATGCACATGAGACCTTACTCACTTTATAGGAAGTGGTCATGACAAGAAGGACTAAAGAACAAATAGAATTTGCAACACAAAGAGTGCAGAACACCACCACTGACATCTGCAAAAAGTAAACACATAAAAAAGGAAAAAAAAGGTAAATGTATGCTTGTTTTGGAGTTTATTTTGTGTTTTTCAAGGCACAAATATGCATAATTAAAGTTCCTAACAGCCTTTGCTTTTTTGGCATATGTGAAAGAAATGAACTCAATTTCATTCTATCTGCAACATATTTAAGTTTTCACTTTAGTGTTTTAATTCTGTAGAGCACTGCAGGGCGCAGCCTTTGCTGCTTACCTCTTAGCGTGTTTTAGGGAAAGACTGTGAAGGGAGGACACGACTAAGCTTTGACTAATGAAGAAATCCTCACATGAGTTTCAGCAGTCCCCCTTCATGACCGTTATCTTGTGTTTGAGAGGTAAACATGGGGATATCCACAGATTATCAGTAACATTCTGAAATGTTTACATTAAATAAAATGCTACTGAGCTTCTTTGCTCAAATGCTTTAGGATTTAGGGAACTAACATTTTATATGCCATTGCAAAATTTGTTTATAGTAGGAAGTTTTCATTTCAGCTCTATATTCAAAATAACAATGCTAGGATGAAATATTAAAAATTACACAAAAATAATCAGTTTTAACAAGAAAGTAATTAAAATTCCTACCTTAATGTGTTTATAAGGAAAACATCTGCTTCTGCTTGCAAATGAGACTGTTATTATGAGGGAAATTTTCTATAAAGAGAAATAGTGAAAAAAGCTTTTTATTATTTTTGCAATTACTTTGGATGAACCGCACAGAAACTTTTACATACCGTTTTTGCCCCCTCTAAAACACAGTCTAGACACATGAGCGAGATGCTTACTACCTGAAAGTCAGTCTAAAAATACATTCATGTCAGTAAAAATGCAGAAATGAAATTCCACAGAATGATAGGAAATTATAGTCACCGCTTCTATTTCATTTTTGAAAGGGATTGATGTTGTGCTCACCTCTGTAGTAGAAACAGTTGTGTCAGTTACTGCTGAAGTTAGATGTGATGCACTTGATGCAGTACTTGATCCACCCGTGCTAGATGCAGTACTTGCTGTGGTACTGGATGCTATACTTGATGCAGTACTTGATGCAACAGTTGGTTCCGTAGGACTTGGTGCCAGTGTGCTTGTGGGTCTGAGAAACTCGACACCGACATTCTCCCAGAACATTGTGAAACTTTGACTGAAAGTGGCCCTGTGAGATGCAGGATTAGATAACATATGTAAATTCACAGTCTGTATTTTAATGTAAACCAAATGAAAGCATGTTGTGCTTTTTATGCATCTGGATTTTTTTGTTTTGAATTGTTGAACTAGTGTAACCTGAAGATGATGTCTCTCTCCTCTCCCTGTGCAGTCCAGTTGACGCTGAATAAAGACTTGGGTTGACTGTTTGCTTGACTAACTGATGACCCCTGAGGAAAAGTGTCAAAACAATGATCCTCTTCTAAAAATAATGCTGATTTGGTGCAGACTGTACAGCCCAACTTACAGATAAACCACCACATGTCAGAAGATAGGTGTTAGAGGTATCAAGTGAGATGAATTTTCCAACGGGTGGGCCTTTGCCACCCAAACTACTCTCACGAGCCTGCAGCATGAAGCCGGTGAATTTCCTCGAGTCTTTGCTCTTGAGTGTAACTGAAAATTATAAAATAAGAAACACTGATAAGAATAAGAACAATTTGTCATTAACATGCTCCTAGAACCAATTCATACCTTTGACGGGGTCTCTGGTGTTCTGTCCAAGTTCGTAACTAACTGCAAATGGAGGTTCGGAGGTCTGAGGAGGAAAAAAGGTGCCTCCACTTCCCCTATGCTGAGGTAACATTGAGTCACATGCCTCTGGAAATCTACCATTTTGATATCCATATAGCTTTGAGATAAAATCAGAGCCAATCAAAATCCACAACCACATCTGTAAAATATACCGATAATTACATTTATCAGAATAACAAGGACATAAATCAAAATCCCTTCACAAGTATACCATTCATCATTGAGGAAACTAATCTGGTCAACAACAATTAAAACGTGCTCTTCTCACTAAAGCTTCTAAAGTCAAAGCAAGGTAGTCACCCTCTGAGATAGAAAGCAATCCTTATCTTCTTCCAGAAAGTCAGAGGAAACTTTGAGAAAGTTAATAAATAATAAAACTGCCTTCTTCTGTCTCCAACACAGTTCGGTACGGGGCGTGAGCTGGAAGGAAATGTAACAGCCGGGTGACCGAGGAAGCTGAACACGCCCATATCAACAAGTCACTTTTTGCTTTAGGATCTTTTTACTAACGTTTCTTTTTTTTTTCTAGTTGTTTATTGTTTGTTCCCCTTTCTTTGGGCTTTCTCACAAGAACTTTGATAAAAGTACCTAAACAAATTTTTCTCATGTGAAGTCTGTCATGATCTAAGATAAAGTTCTCTGATCAAACAAGAAGGGCTGAAGCCAAACCTAACAGCTGTTTCACAATTTAACGTCTCTTTATATGCTGCATGTGTCTGTGTGTGTCTATGTCAGCAACAGCCTACCTCCAGCTCACCTTTACGGTACAAAGTCTAAACCCTGTTATGACCTTTATAAACACAATTTAGGGTTTAACTTCAAGGCAGTTTGGAGGAAAAACAATGGAGCTGGATTGTGTTTCTATTACCAGGAAACAGAGTCAGTTAAACACGAGTTTTAATGACTTTAGATGAAAATGCTTGTTCTTTGTGGAGGTTCTAGTAGTCAAACACTGTCCGGTTCTCGTTATTACCCTAATCACAGCTTCAACATCATTAATGGGTTAGATGTTTGAGTGCAATGTGTTATGGGGTGCCATTTGTAAAGTCAGTCATAACTTAGCAGCAGTATTTTGGGTTATTTAGCCTATCATAAGTGAAAAAAGGGAGTTAATTTTTCAATATCACATTTCTACCATGTTACTCAAACCTTTATAAATGTTAAAGTTCCAAACTAAAAATGTATTTAGCAAGCTAAATATTTCATTTAGAGTTAGATATTTATTTTACAAATTAAATATTTAGGTCAGAAATATTTAATAATAATTATATTTATACAATTATTTATATTAATAACATTAGAATATTTAATTAGGCACAGAATATTTAATTCAAATTAAAAGGAATTTCTGGTGCTGGAGTTAAGTGCTCACCCTGTAATTGGAAAGTTGCAGGTTCGAGCCCCGCGCAGTTTGTTGCTGTCAACGTGTTCTTGGGCAAGACACTTCGCCTCCCTTGCCTGCTGGTGGTGCCCGGAGAGACCGGTGGCACCAGTGCTCGGCAACTTCGCCTCTGTCTGTGTGCCCCAGGACAGCTACACTGTAGCTCATCCCCATCAGTGTGTGAATGGGTGAATGACTGATTGTGTTGTAAAACGCCTTGGGGGGGTTCCAGGATTCTAGAAGGTGCTATATCAAATAAAGGTCATTTAAAAATTTATTTTCCTAAAAAATATTTAGATCCCAGTTTGGAACTAAACATTTAGTTAGCTAAATAAATATTTAGGTTAAGCCCCAAAATACATATTTGGGGATCTAAATATTTATCTTGGTGAAAAAATTAGTAATTTGGAGCAAAATATTTAGGTCCAATCTAATTTCTCTCCAAATTAAATGTTTGCAAAAATAAATATGTTACTCTAAATTACATATTTATTTGGGAATTTTAACATAAAATGTATGAATTACATTATGAAAATGGGAGTTTGAAAAATAAATTCCCATTTTTTTTCTTTTGTGATGGGCTAAATAACCCAAAATCTTGCTGTTTAGGACTGTTTGAATTTACAAATGGCGCCCCATACTCTTGAAGATGGCACACTGTCCACCTTAAAGTAGCTATAGAAAACAGGAAGATGCATTTCTGATTACTTTTGTAGTTTTTGTGACCTTTCACCTACTATTCTACTTGTCCAAAGGCAAGTTTCAGAAGAAACAGGACCAGGATGGAAACATAGCCGTGGCCAGAGATGATACGATTAGTCAAGCAAGTTCTGGGTCTGTGCTGGGGTTGTTGGAAAACTTGTAACCAACTTAAAGAGCAAGTCACCCCCTACAAGAAGCGTACTTCACTCCCATTTCATGTTTGAAAAATGCAACAAATGCTGTTGCCTTGCAGACTGAGAGGGTGGAGCCACTAACAAATACACACACTCACGACATTGTGACATCATAATGTACCAGTTTACATCATAGCATACCTCTTAGCCAATAGCGGTGGCAGATTTAAATTCAAATGCAGTGAAGAGTTTTTACCTGACAACGGCACAACACTGACAGTTTCAGGCAGAAAATTTAAATTTGAACTAAAATGCACTAAAGTGCAAAACTATTGACTACACGTGTTTGCAGCATGATTAGACATGCATTTATATAGTTTATCAGAAAAAAATAGTTGATTTGGGGGTGACTTGCTCTTTAATCAGATCCCAGAACCACCTTAGCTGAATTCATTCCAGGAAGACAAGAAGTAGTTTAACTACAAACGTCCCCCAGATGATGGAGCTCTTTACCTTTTATCTGAGGGCTGGGCCTGGCCACGGAGGAAGCTCTTTCCAGCTTCCTGAGATATCAATACCAGGTGACTTTTCATTGCTTCACTCTGTAAAGTCTAATGTTTTTTCTTTATAATTATATTATAATAATTATGAATTATTTTGATTGTGTGATAACATAATAATATAATAACAGGGACAATTTACCTGTGATGCTACAATATTCCTCCAGAGGGCAGAAAAGATAATTGGTCTTGATACAGGAGGGTTTTAAAGGAAAGTACAAATCCTGTTAAAGAGGTAGAGATTTAAAAAGGAAGTACCAAAAACTCTCAAGTTGGTATTAAAGGAATCTTGGTATTTTGACAAACGTCTTTTATTTTCTTCCATATAAGTATTTATTCAACACATTCAGGTAACATTTGGCATATTTTCATTGCTAAATACCTGCACTGATCTGGGTTATTTTGATAGTTAAATTGTGGATTCAATCATCCCTTCACCCTGCAACACACAATAACATGGTGGTCTAGCTGATGCACTATTGCATCATAACAAGAAGGTTGCAGGTTTGAATCCCAGCTCTACCCTTTCTAGAATCATGTTTTCCCTGTGCCCATGTAGGTTTTCTCAAGGTGCTTTGTTTTCCTCCAACAGGGCAAAAACACACACGATAGATGAAACTGTGAGTGACTTTGGATAAAAATCCATCCATCCATCCATTTTCTGAACCCACTTGTCCGCATAGGGTCGCGGGGGGGAGTTGGTGCCTATCTCCAGCGGTCAACGGGCAATCTGGTGGGGTACACTGTGGACAGAGAGCCAGTCCACCGCAGAGGAACACAGAGACACACAGGACAAACAATCACGCACACACACACACACACGCCCACACCTAAGGACAATTTGGACATACCAATCAGCCTAACAGTCATGTTTTTGGACTGTGGGAGGAAGCCGGAGTACCCGGAGAGAACCCACGCATGCACAGGGAGAACATGCAAACTCCATGCAGAAAAATCCCAGTCTGGGAAGCGAACGCAGGACCTTCATGCTGCCAGGCAACAGTTCTAACCACTAACCACTGCGCAGCCCTTGGACAAAGATATCAGCTAAATTAATTTCCATATCTAAACATAGATATTAAAAAACCCAATGTGATAGGTATTTGTTGTTGCTGTTCTACTAAAGGTGTAGAATATGATAAAATAGTTTAGTTAGAAACTTAGCATCATTCTTTTAACTATTTACATTATAACACCATAGTTACCACAGTCCCAGGATTTCATGTTTATTTACTTGTTTACATTTTATTATAGTTTATCCAAAAATTTGTATTTAGCTGCTTTAAGGATTTTACATTTGGTAAAAAATCCCGATTTTACCAGTAAATCTTTTGCTACTGTTGCTTTTTCCCTTTTGTGACTAATTTAGGCATTATAAAAACAAATGAATCCAAGACTTAAACACACCACTTTATTATAAAATCAATTTAAACATCAATATAACAAAAACAGGTGATAAAATTAGTGAAAACCAGTCTTTAAAACCAAATCTAGCTTATAGAAATTGGTATAAATGAGGAGTTACTGTCCACTCCACTAGAGGCTAGTTTAGTTTTTAGTTGTTCTTTTTACTTTAACACACTCGACTTTCACAAACAAAAGGTTATTTCTGGAACAATTATTATAACGTGCATTGAAAAATAGCCACTTCATTTTAAAGAAGAAAAATAAAGACATTTGTGACTCATATGTAATGAAAGAAGAAAAACAGTAAACAAATTTAATACAAACTTAATCAGTTAAAACTTTGTGATATTTAAATAAGTTACAGTAAAGTAAAAAAAACAACAACAACAACAAAATATTAACATTCATTACATTGATCCAATAGTTTGGCAAGCTATCCTATATGAGTAAATATCTGCAGACCTGCAGAGCAAACATTGCTACAATCGTTCTAAATTTTTAGGCTATTGATACGTGTGAGACTTTCTTACAAAAAAGGTTTAAAAGTTTTCTTCTTATATTCTTTAAAAGTTATATGAGTTTTACAGAATAACAAAAGGTGAGCAATGGAGCACAACAAATAGTTTATACAGTGTAAGAAATAAAAAAAAGCATTCTCTCTCTAGTACATTGATCCACGTGAGGCCACGTTTTGCATTTGGAGTTGTTGTCCTGTTGCTAGATTTGGTTTTTTGAGCAATTTGTGCAGAATTGTCTTTAAGTGGTTCCTGAACTTCACACCAACAAATGCATAAAATACAGGATTCAAGCAGCAGTGGGAGAAAGCAACAAACCGGCAAACAGAGAATGCGTAGTCGAGCTGGATGCTCATTTCACAGTCATCAGACGGTAAAACATCATGTCGAGTCAGAATTCTCAAAAAGATCACCACGTTGTAGGGCACCCAGCCAACAAAAAACACCGTTACGATGCAGAAGACCAACCTGACTGCTCTGTTCCTGGTGTGGGACCTGGTTCTTGTGATCTTTATTAGTATTTGAATGTAGCAGAAAGCCATTATTGCAAAAGCAACCAAGAAGAAAACAACCTGCTGGCCCATTCCGACACTTTTCCACAGAGAATCATTGTATTCACAGCCCCAGGACTCTTCATCGCTGTTAGGGATTTTGATGAGAGAGGTGAAGAGCAGGGAGGGCAAGGCTGCTCCGATGCTGATTATCCACATTAGCACAGACACTAAAACCCCAGCACAAAGTGTCACAGTAGCCATGTCAGAGAGAGGGTGGACCACAGCTAAGTACCTGTAGACTGTCATGATGGTCAGGAAGAGGATGCTGCTGTAAAATCCAATGAAAAAAACAAAGGTCACGATTTTGCAGAGAATCTCTGAAAACATCCATCCCCAGATGTGGTAGATGGCCCAGAAGGGGAGTCCAGTGGTGAAGACAAGGTCAGAGACAGCCAGGTTGAGGATGAAGATGTTGGTTAGAGATTTCAGGTTTTCGTAAAAAGCCAGGATGACGAGCACAAGGATGTTTCCTGTCAGACTCAGAGTGATAATGATGGAGAAGAAAACTGGAACAGCAATGGATCCAAATTTGACCACCTTGTCTTTGTTACAGACTTCGTCTTCATAGTCACTGTCAGAGTAATCAGAGATTGCACTGGAGGAGTTATCCATTGCTAGTGATGGGGAACTTTCGAAAGACAGATAAGATGTTATGTGACATAAATACATAAAATTATTGTCTTTTATTAGTGCAATGTAAAGAATAACTTACCTCCTTTCTCTTTATGCTGATGTAGCTGGTTGTGGTATTTGGAAAGAAATAAGTAGGTTGTGACTTTTATGTAACTGCTTGTGCTTTCACTTCCTTATTCGCTTTCTGGGATTCAGAACCACTGGTAAATCGAGAGCTTCGCCTTCTGGCTCAGCTCTCTCCACCACGGCAGACAGGTACGACGTCCACATCACTGCAGATACAGCGCCAATCCACCTGTCGATCTCACGCTCCATCTTTCCCTCAAGCTCCATCTTATGGAACACAAAGTAACGATCGATCATTTGCATGCAGACTGTGAGAAGTTACAGTAGTTAAAGCTATTACAACTATTAAGCTGCGTTTAAATTATGTTCTTTTCCACTTAAACAAAAGTAGAAGAGGTCATTTGCCTGTCGGTGATCACATGACATTTCTGTTTACGTGATTACGTCAACCAACCTTCCCTTCAGTTAAGGCCACCCACTTTCCTTATGCTGATTGGTCGGAGTTCTGAAACTCGCTTACTGATTGGACAATATCCTGTCTGTTCGTCAATTCTAGCAAGTTTATACGATTTTCCTTGAGTTTCTTGTTTTGGGTTAAGTCATATCTAAAAAAGTATGTCATCGTTATTAATATTCTTTTTATTTTATCTTCTATATTTTCAGAAACATATTACATTGATTGAGTCGTGGATTTTTGCTAATGTCACGAAGGCTTTCCTAAGTTTATTTTACGACGCCAGACAGTCAACTGGTTTTAATGAGTTTTATTTGTTAGCCGACCTGTTTTCTTTGCTAGTAAAAAGGTAATAACGCTGGCATTTGGGGTTGTTCATCTTTAGCTTGTGTTTCAATCGATGTTTAAACCCGCCTTAATGGGACTGCAGTGTATAGATAATTTGACAACGGCTGTTAAACAAATGGTTAGCTAGCAGTATATAACGCTGGCAAAATATGGCACTGTTAGTAATACCAGACGGAAACAGTAGTTTTATTCATTGTTTTTCTTTTTCAGATACGGATGCCAGTACTATTTTATTGTGAAAGGTAGACATAGCTGTACATATTTGAATGGGTAAGTAAATAGTTAATATACATGGAGTTGTTTTTAAGTTTTTTAATTTAATGTTGAAGGTTCTGCACGACCCCCAAATGTAAAATGTTCCAGTTGTTGGCCTTTTTCCTGTAACTTCCTGTAATCGAACAGAAAACATCCGCTGTGATTGTGTCAGAGGGCTTCTTTATTGTAACAAAGATAATGCTCACTGTTGTGATCAGGATGGATCTCCTAGTTATTCTCACTCACCTACTAAAGACATTACAATTCTGCTGAACTGTTAAGGAATGCGTTTTGCTAGTTTTCCTGTTTGAGTTTAATGAAATTAAACGTTTCCCCATCAAAAAATGAATTGATCAGACTCAGTCTTGTCTGAAGCTCGAGTCTGAATTATATCTGTCACAGCCTGGCACGAGCTAAACTGGGATTATTAAGGGAAGTAAGTAACAAAGTGCACTATATTCATCCCACGTGACACAACAGAAGAATCATCATTTTATCTTTATAATTGTGTCCTATTAAGTATAATGAGCCTCTTATTGATGTGTGACACATTTGTGCCAACCTGCTTTTGCCTCTGAGGCCATTGCAAAGTGTATTTAGAAGAAGTTGTGACAATCTTTTATTCTGGACTAATTGTAATTTTCTGATTTAGCAGGCTGGATGTGACCCTGCGACTCCTGGTTGCCAGGGAGTAGAGGAGGGGCCATGGCTGCTGGGGCTTCAGTCGGAGAGAGCCAGCTCCAGAGGATTATCCGAGATCTGCATGGTACATCAGCTGTGTGTGTGTGTGTGTGTGTGTGTGTGTGTGTGTGTGTGTGTGTGTGTGTGTGTGTGATTACATTAACACCAAGCATTTGCTGAAGCAAATAAAAGATACAAAAGATGTAGATGTGTTATTTTATGATCTTTGCACCTGGAACTCTCTGTCCTCTCCTAACTTTTTAACTTATTTGGGGAAATAAATTATTTCAGTTTATGCTTGAGTGGTGAAGATGTGGTGGTGGTTTCTGTCTGCATGCAGCAAGACAGAGAACATGCTTAGGGTGTGCCCAGCACACTTGCCTTTCCAGTGTCTGTGATGTAAACAAGGCGAGGTTTCTTTCCTGACTTGCGATTCTTTGAATTTCAGAGGCAGTTGCCGAGCTTGCAAATGAGTTCAAGGAAAATGGAGAGCCAATCACAGATGACAGCACTAATTTACACAAATTCTCCTACAAACTGGAGTACCTGCTTCAGGTGGGAGTTTGATTTTAAAATAAATAATAATTCTGATGGAAATATCCTTTTGCTTATATTTAACTTTTGCTTGTATTTTACTTCTTATAAAAATGCTAGGACATTCAAAAGTTTTCATTTCCACAAATCTTTATTTCAGTTTGACCAGAAGGAGAAAACAACATTTCTGGGTACCAAAAAGGACTACTGGGATTATTTTACCGACTGTTTGGCTAAAACCAAAGGAGCCAATGATGGCATTCGATTTGTCAAATCCATTTCTGAGGTGCAGATTTGAAGTTTTTTTTACCTGAATCATTAAGATTTATGATTTCCGATAACCTTCAAATAACTAGCTAGTAGCCAGGTCTGTCTTGTCATAAGATGCTAATTACACCGTCCTCGTAAAACAAAGTCACATTTTTGTCGCTTTCATGTAATTTAAACCTCTGTTTCAAGATTTCTTTTAAAATTATATTAGTTGTTGGGTTGAGCTCTACAAGCTATGTTGTATTATTTTTGTATTGAGATTAAATATGTCTAATTTCTAAAGAAAATAATGACATAATGCAAATTGTTACTGTGTTCAAAGTCAACCTTTAAAAGGTCTGTGTGAAAGCATGTTTATTTTTTTCTTCACTAGTTGAAGACATCTCTGGGGAAGGGACGAGCATTTATTCGCTACTCCCTCGTTCATCAACGATTGGCTGATACTCTGCAGCAGTGCCTAATGAACCAGAGAGTTACCAGGTAAAACAGCCCTGGCCTGTGAACTATTTATATTTTAATCCTATTTAACGACTTAAACCTTCTTCTGTAGTTATTATGACTAGGGCTGATAATTGATAAGTTTTTATCAATATCAATGCCATTTTCAATTCTGTCTATGAATCCGACTGCTTATCAATTCCCGAATAGTTCATTGGTGGCCAAAAATGAACTGCACACGGTTTCCTGCACTCGAACTGACAGTTTATTTAAAGATAAATAATTATTGAACCTGGTATCATTTGTAAAGAGCTCTTCAAATGTCCTCATTTATGCTCCTTGTGAAGCCAGAGTCATGTTCTTGTATGGTGTAGTGTTGCTGTAGTTTGTTAAAGAAGCAAAATCAAGTCGGACTTTAAAGATTAAAACAGTTGTCACACACACATTGGTGTGGTGAAAATTGTCCTCATTTGACCCATGCCCGTGGGGAGTGGTGAGCTGCAGACACGGCCGTGCTCAGGAACTATTTGGTGGTTTAGTCTCTGGAGTCTGCTATAGAGGTGTGTACATTAGGCAAATAACGCAAACATGATAGGATAGTGTTAGCTGGTTAGTTACCTGCAGTATTAACAGGAGAAGACGCTGCTGCTGCGTTGAAACCCACTAGTCCGCAGCGGGTCAAAAACACCACATTCTCTATAAGTTTGCCCACTTCACTGCACACTCCATATTTGTTTCCCTCTGTGATTGATTATGCTGCCTCACTGCCACCTAGGATTGACTGAATAGTGTTTGTTGTTAGCCTCAAGGGCCACCTGATGGCTTGATTGTCACCTGTAAGTCGCTTTGGACAAAGCGTCTGCTAAACACATACATAAATATAAGTAATCCTGTATTTTGTTTGAAAATGCTTTTGCATATTCATAGTGTTTCCTCTCTTTCATGAAATACTTTGCAAGTATTGCAAGTTTCCCTGTTGTCATCCTTTCTCAGTATAACCAAATATTCGAGTGTTTGTGCCTCTTGGGCGCCATGTTTGCGGTTGAGTAAATGAGTAAGCTACACAATGTGTGTGGTGACGTCATTCATGCCGAATTGATAAGGGAATTGTTTGCAACCATGGCAAACGATTCCTAGGAATTGAAACAGTGGGAACCGGCTCTCAACACGAACCGATTTTCGATTCCCACCCCTCGTTAGGACGATAATAATTTGAGGCAAGTAATAATATGAATCAAGTAAAAGCATATTTCATAAAGATAGACACATGCAGTGGTCCTAGATTTTTCCAGAGCATTGGAGGCTTAAAAAAAGCCCTGTTTTTAATCTTCTAATAAGAATTCACCGGTGGATCTGAGTCCATCTCGGTGTTCATTTGGGATAGAAAAATTGTTTGATAAATATCATGGTAAAGATCGAGGGTCAGAGTTCTAGAAAGTAACTGGTTGAGAAAGATACTTTTTGAATTCAAAGGTCCAAACCCCTTTCTTCAGCTTTCCCCTTAAACTGCACCTCCAGAATACAGAAACATGGAACGCTTGTTCTCAAAGGTTTGGTTTTACATTTTTAACCCGTTGTATAACAATGTAGTATGCTAGCTAATACAGTGTGGAGTTTTGACGGTGTGAAATGAGGCATTTTTTAGCTTCCTTGGTGTATTCTTGACCTCAAATTCACAGCAGCACAGCACCTCCAACAATCTGGGTAAACCCTACGACCAACAGGTCAAAACCTCTATAGCCAAGGCAACAAAGTGACAGACAGCTCTGCCGGCCAAACCATGACAGGCTTCATTCACAGACAACAGGCAAACCTAAACGTTTCCTATCAAGAAAAGAACAAGACTCTAAGCTCAACGTGTAAAGAAATGTGCAAACAGAATGGAACATTCCGTCTGTTACACTTGGCAGCCCGGCTCTGGCTTCACTTCCTGTTCAGCTGCTCCAAGCTAAGAATGAATGATTTGTGCACATAGAGGGACATTTTCAGAGGGGTGAGAGATGTTCAGAGGATCAGTTTAAAGGATGGATCATGATCCAATCATTGAGATTGGGACGGTCACAATGATCAAATGACAGTTTATTTTCAGGAATTTACATTTCAGAAGTGATTAAAATTAATTCTTTACAAAGCATTAAATGTATTGATTGCCATTGGTATGTGCTCCGGAAGAAAACCTCCTAACTGCACCTTTAACGGTTAAACTCCATTAAATGCATCCTATATTAATGAAGTTGCTTTCTGATTCATCCGTTAAATATGTGCATCATGCTACCTGAAGTCCCAGAAATGCTCTTTATTATAGTTTCTAGTTGTTCCACGGTGCTCTACACTAAGCTTTCTTTTTTCTTTCATCACACAGTGACTGGTACTATGCGAGGAGTCCCTTGTTGAAGCCCCGCCTTAGCGCTGACATAATTAATCACTTGTATGAACTCAATGAGGTCCAGTTTGATGTGGCTTCCAGAGGTCATGATCTTGATGCCTCTTGGCCAACATTTGCAAGGTAAATAAGAATATCTGAAAAGGCTGATAGGAATTAGAGAAATTGTGCAGCTTTTTCTTTTCTCTGTTTCATTTTCAAGCTTAATCAGGATTACAGACTTCATGTCTCTGCAAAGGATGGATAAGAAACATTCCTGGGTCCAGATTTAGGGGGAAGCAGTTGGAAATAGAGTGGGTTGTCCAGTAATCGGAAGGTTTGCATGTTTGATCCTGGCTCCTAGCAGAGAATGCTGCTGTTGTCTCCTTGGGCAAGGCACTTAACCCACCTTGCCTGCTGGTGGTGGTCGGAGGGACCGGTGGCGCCTTTGCTCAGCAGTCTTGCTTCAGTCAGCGCGTCTCAGGGCAGCTGTGGCTACATTGTCATCACCAGCGTATGAATTTGTGTGAATGGATGAATGATACACTGTAGTGTAAAGCACTTTGGAGTCCTCTGACTCTGAAAGGTGCTATACAAGTGTGGGTCATTTATTATTTGAATCTGTATCACTTCTAATTAGGGCCTTACATGGACAAGCACCATCATACATTGGTGATCTTCTCAGTCCCTACACCCCAGCAGGTCCCTGAGGTCCAGTGACCAAACCCTACTGGTTGTGCAGTGCACTAAAGACCTGGGGCCTCATTTATCAAGCTTGCTTACGCACAAAACGGGGTTGGAATACTGCGTAAGCATCTTTCCACGCAAACTTTGGGATTTATGAAAGAAAACTTAGCGGAAAAATGTGCGCAACTTTAAGTTGACTAAGGACCTGGCTTACGCACATGTTGGACATGGAGAGCTCCTGCAGTGCTGCTGCTGAGAAGGATAAAATTATGAAACCCTGCAGCATTATCACTTGTACTGCTTCGTTTTCACACAGAACAAGACCCCCCACATGCACACACATGCGTGCGCACACACACACATGCGCACACACACACACCTGCGCGCACACTCACACACACACACACACACACACACACACACACACACACACACACACACACACACACACACACACACACACACACACACACACAGCCTGAAGCGCAGAATACGGAATGCAGAATATCAGCAGGGGGACAGATTGAGACAGAATGGCATGCGTCTGTGACAGTGTGTGTCCTGTCACTGTGACCCGACTGATCATGCGCCCTTGCTACTTGGACAAGGGAGATCTCCGTTTGGGTGACTGGTTAGCGTGCGTGACTTTCACCCGGGATCCTGAGGATTGAATCCCAGTTGGACCATTTTTTTATATCCGCCACAGATCTCTCTGAAGAATTCACAGCATTGACGGCTTCAGCAACGCTGTGCCACACTGTGGATTTTCTCTTATTTGTTTTGTAAAAGCACTTCCTTTAATTTCTCCACCTCACCCACAGGTACCTCAATTTCTGCTTCTGTGAAATTGTGCTTCCTTGATCTGCCTTGATCTACGGTCGCCATCGTCATTGGCGGAGCGCTGCAACAGCCGGCTTATGTATATCTATGAGATCCTCAAGGCACTTTGCATTCACTATATATGGCAGTAAGTAGGCGTGGTGAGGGCGGGATGTGACTAAAATGCAGCTGAGAACCTTTCTCGTTAGTGTCTGATTTATGAAGCGGAGATTGCGTGCAGCTGTGCGTACTCCATGTTTGATAGATCACAAACCTACTTGGCGTGAGTACTTGTTTTTGCCGAGCTTAAGTACGGTTTTAGTAAGGATTCTACGCAATGTGTGATAAATGAGACCCCAGAGGTGACAGATCATTTGCTGCTGTGGCCACCAGACTCTGGACCTCTCTCCCCCTGAGCCTGAGATCAGTGGACTCAGTGGTCTCCTTTGGTCTGGCTTTGGTGTGACCTTCATCACCAGCCTCTTCTTATTCTGCTCTTTCTACCAATTCTGCCTTTCCCGGGATTCCCTGATTACCTCTTTTTATTATTTTTCTCTTTCCCTTTGCTCACATTTTTTAGTCACAGTTTTTTTTTACTTTTCCCAATTTTAAAATTTTTAATCATTTTTATTTTTCCCTGTTCTTGTTCTTGTGAAGCACCCCACAATTTTTATTTTGAGAGATGTTATATACAAGATTGTTTCTTCTTTCTTCTTCTAATCTGGGTCCAGAAATGTCAAACAACGAAAACTAAGTTGTCAAGTAGACAATCACTGCTGATCTTTCCACTACTCTTAATAAAGCTGCTATCAAACAGAGAAACAAGCTGAATTCACCACACAACTTCCCTGTCAGAGGTGTTTACAGTAAAATACTTTCCTTCGGGTCAACAGGAGAACAGTGGGAAGTGTAAATTCGCCCAGTCACATGTGGAAACCACCTAGTCGTAGTTCCAGCATTAACAGTCTGGCCAGCACTTACTCCCAGGTAATTATTATTTACATCAAAATCATTGCCTAACACTTTTAATGTGTACAATGCTCCTTCTTTCTTCTCTTTCTTATTATTTTGCTAATCTAGCAAGCACCAGAGTTCCCCTGCAGCCCTGACTACGGCCTGTTAAACGATCTGAACGACTCCCTTCCTGCCTGCGCGGAAGACGTCGCTGTAGAAAACCTTCGCCTGGAGCTGGATCAGTCAGAGCTGAAGCAGCGAGAGCTCTTTGTTAAAGTTCGGCAGCTGGATGAAGAATCTGCTGAGTACCAGGGAGTAATTGAGAAGCTCCAGGGGCAGCTGGACGTGTCACTTGCTGCCCAAGAAAAGCAATGGGCCTTGCAGGGAGAGCTCCAAAGGAGAGAGGAGGCTCTGTCCAGAGAGGTGGAGGAACTCAGGATTGACAAGAAAAACAGGGAAGCTCAGCGTGTCATGCTAGAGGAGAAGCTCACAGCTGCTGAGCAAAAGAACATGGAGCTAATGGCCAAGTTGGATGGGTTTCTTAACGAGAAAGGCCAGCAGGCAGCGAATCACTTTGATTCAGCACAGAAGATTCATGAGCTACTTGACAAATTGAAAGAGGCAGAGAAAGAGAAGATGGATGCTGTCACTGAGATGGTGGAGATGAGGCTGCAGGCAGAAAGGCTAGAGGAGGAACTAAGAGTGAAGGAATCAGCAGCAAAGGATAGTCGAGCTAAATTTCAAGAGTTATTCACATCTGCGTCTGAGGAAAAAGCCAAGTTGGAGAACAGGATGGAAGTACAGTTGATCACTCTGGAAAAGCAGCAAGGTGACCTGACACTGAAAGAAAAAGAGGCAGGCAAGCTACAGAAGCAGCTCCAGGATCTTCAGAGATCTCTAGGAGATAAAGAGCAAGAGTTGGAGGAGGTGAAGAAGAAGGCCCAGGAGGACTTAGAAGAGCTACAGAAGAAAGTAGCTACACTCACGGAAGAGCTTCAGAAGAAAGAGGCGGAGCTAGGGTCCAGCTCTGAGGCACTACAACAGCTAAAAGCCAAAAACCAAAATCTGACCACAAAGAGGGACGAACTGACCACCAGCCTTTCTGCCCATGAAGGTAAGATCAAAGAGCTGTCTCCAAGGCTAGAAGACTACAAGACACAGTGTGCTGATCTGCTGGAGTCAAAAGAGAAGCTGCAGAACACAGTGAGGAGGTACGAGGAGGAGCAAAAGGAGATGACAGATAAAAGAACAGCACTTGAGTCTGAGTTAGCAGCTCTAAGAGCCTCTGAGAAGCAACTCAGGGGCCAACTGGACGACGCCAAGATGACAGTGGATGAGAAGGAGAAGGCACTACGTGAGGAGAACCGCAGGCTGGATGAGGGTCTGCAGCGAGCCAAGATGGCTGCTAATCTATCAGAGACAACACTAAAACGCCTTGAACAGGAGAACCAGAGTCTGCAAGAGGAGCAGGAAACTTTGAATGCAACTGTTAGTCGCATGCAGACTGATCTGAAGAATGTCCAACAGCAGAACAAAGGCTTAGAGGAAAATCTCGAGGCTTTGCACAAAAAAGAACTCTGTCTTCAAGAGGAGCTCAACGCTAAAGCAGAACAGCTGGAAAGCAAAGAGAAGGATCTTCTAAAGTTGTTGTCTGTTGTTGAAGTGTTGGAGACCAAGGAGAAGGAGCTTGAAATAGCAAAAACTACTGCAGAAGCTATGTGTGTCAGACAGACAGAGGTGATAGACAGGGTAACATCTGAGAAACAGGCAATGGAAAGTTCACAGCTGGAGAGGAGCACGGTCCAAGCCAAGGAGAACCAGGAGCTTACTGCCAAGCTAACTCTTTTTGAAGGCCAGTTGGAGGTCAGCATGAAAGAGGTGTCTCGGCTCCAGGCGGTGCTCATGAACTTGAAGGTGCAGATGCAGATTTCTGAGGAGGAAAAACAGAGATCTCAAGTACAGCTGGAGGTGACAGAGGCCCAAAGAGATGAGCTCAGGTCTCTTACTGAGCAGCTTAAATTGCAGGCAGAGGCATTAAATCAGAAGCACATAGCAGAGCTCATGGAGGGTAAAAACAAAGAGGAGGCTCTCATTCAACAGCGTGATCAGGAAGTCAAAGCCCATGCAGACCTGGCGAATTCTGTAGCCGCCATCCAAGAAGAGGTGTCCACCCTCAAGGCACAAAATAATAGGCTGGCTGTGGAGAACAACGAAATCCGTGAGGGTCTGCACAGAGCCAACACCGAGATGGCAGAGCTGGGGATGACCATCTGTAAGCTGAATGCAGAGAAGGAGGAGGCCAGGGAGCTCTGGAGGGGAAAAGATGCTGAGATCGAAGAGCGAGAGAGGTTGGTAGAGCGACTCGAGGAATGCAAGAAGGAACTTCAGCTGGAGAATAACCATTTCAGAGAGGAGCTGAAGCAGAAGGAATCACTTCCAGGGATTGTCATGGAGCTACAAAGGCAGCTGGAAAAGACCCAGAACCATATGCAAGGTGTGAAGGACTCCTGTCGAGAAGAGATAGACGCCATCAAGTTCCAAATGAGCTCAGAGACCATGAACCACCAGGTCAACTTAAAGGTGATGTCAGCCGTTACACATGTAGTACTGATGTTTCACTTTTTTATTCTTCATAGGGATGCGTCACAGAAGGTTTAAGTGTTTTAAACTTTATCAGACTTTACATTTTCTCTCCAAGATTGAACAAGTTTTCAGGATTTATCTGGTTTTTACATCTAGACCCATCATCAGACTCAATGTTGGTTAGTCCAAAACCTCATTAGAGATTTGATAAAATACACTTTGTGGTTAGAACCAGATATAACTGGATTACATACACACTGAAAGGTTTTTATTAGCTTAAAGTATTCTAGACAGGCCTGTCACTATCATCCTGTTTTATACAAATGAGATTAATTCATGCTTTAATCAGCTTTTATTTTTAGTTTACCTCATTTCTTTTATATTTCAAACTAATGCTGTTGATTGTTGCCTTTTTGCGTTACATCCACCTGGCTGCCCAGGCCAAATTCCTAGTTAGATTTTAAAACCAAAATGTGTCCACTAACAACCCACACTACCACACACAAACATTTTTAAATCCACTAAAAGTTAATGAGAGTTAAATGTTTGCAGTTTGCTTTTAGGTTGTATGTTTTAGACGATTATCTTAATTCTAACAAACCTTCCTGTTGACATTAAGCATTTCAGGGATGCCCAACATCATCGGCTCTTATTGGCATTAAAATGCAACATCTGAAATTCATTATGGGTTTTTACTTTTAATGACAAAACTTTCTGGGGTGGTGGTCGATGTAAGGACTGAAAAGTAAGGAGCAGAGATGAAGACTCGAGAGGCGGGGGTCAGATGTTCCAGGCAGGGTGAGCAGTGGGAGAGCAGGGCAGACACGGACTAAAAAATGGATCCGGAAGGTTATTGTTGGTCGTGATGGATGATCAGGATACCTGGAGGGCTCAAAGGGTGGCTAGCAACTTCCAGCTTGGTTGTACCCAAAGTGAGTAATCATCCGGCATCATGGAGTCGTCTAGGACAGGTTGCTGATTAGCTCACCAGTTCCAGCTGGACCTGCTCTGCTGACTGCAATCAATGACTTGGAAATTGTTAGTTGATGGCCACTCACCTCGACCGTGACAGTTAGACTATATTGGTAAATTGGATATTGGTAAAGAAAAAAAAAGCTGATATCCAACATCACTGTTTTTTTAAACCTAAACTCCTTTTGCATTGCAGAGTTTGAGCGAGCAGCTTGAGCAGTGTAAAGTGAAGCTGCAGGAGGAGCAGAGAAAAGCCTGTAACTTGCAGGCTAAAGTAACTCAGCTACAGGTTTGTATCTTGGTGTCAGTTTGTGGGCATAAACTGTACAACTTCAGTAAAATTCAACCTGGGACAAGTGTGTAATATCCTAGCAGGAATAATATGTGAAATTATACAATATTTAATAATACCTGGTTAATGCATGTTTGTGAAATAGACGGAGATGTAAAATTCTCTTTAGAGGAAATGGAATCTGGACAGCTTGTAGCATTTAACACCATTTATTTTTCTGTACTCAGTAGAAACTGAAAGTAATTCTAAGAAAGTTAACAGAAAATTATGGTGTTTGTTTTGTTTTTTCTACCAATAATGAGGCCCCTTGATTACAAGGCTTCCCTTTGATTGCAGCATGTAGAATAGATGTGAAATGCCTTTGGTCCTACTTTACTGATTTGCTCTTCGAGCTCCTTTTGATATTAACCCAGGTCTCGTGTGCCTGTAGATTTATTCCAAAGAAAGCAGAAGTTTGTTTTAAAGTTTAAATAAATAACAACAGAACATGAATTACATCTTTAGAACATCAATGATACAGTGTATAATTTATCTGTTTTTTATTCAAGGGAGAAAATGAAGAATATTTACAGCTAATCAGTGAGAAAGATGCTCACATCATAAAGACAGAGTCCACCATTCGTGAGAGTGAAAGTGAAATCCAGCAGCTGAAGAACACAGGGAGCAGGTACAGGAATGATAAAGGATGCTTCTGGTTTTTTATCATTAGGAAACAACAAAACTGATTTGTTTTCTTTCCTCAGTGCTCAAGAGGCTCACTTGTCTTTGCAAACGTTGTGTGAGGAGTTGAAGCAGAAACTGAAGAAAACGGAAGCTGAGAAGCAAACTCAGTATGTGCAGCTGACGGCAGAGATTGAAGACATGAACACAACCAAAACCAACCTTGAGGAGCGGCTCATTGAGCTCATAAAGTACAAAGTTTCTCTGACAAAATGTGTTTTCTTATTTGAGACCTGTGCTTAAATACTCAGAAGGATGGTTTTTTTTTTGAATAATTATCTCCTTAGAGGGGTTCTCTGGTGGCTCTGACAAGACAGAATCTGACTTTGAAGCCTGTTTAAATCTCAACATGTCCTTAATGACCAGGTCCCAGTTATGTGCAAATGCAAATACAGCTGATGGGAGTCAGTGGCATATATAAAACATCTGCTGATTAATTACTGCTAATGTTTTTTAAAAAAAAAGCATTATTTAAAGATGAACACATTTCAGATGTGAGTTTTTTTGTTTGAGTTGTGAAGGTGCATCCCACTTGCTCCTGTGATCCCATCAGGCAGGATGTGCATTAGCGCCGGGCCCGAGCAGCTCCTTAGACGTAGGATATGAGGAAAAGACTTCTTTTGATTCTTTACTGAAAATGGATGTGAGGTGAAGAACCACTACTGTAGCAAAAATCATCATTTTTTCAATCTTCCTTTCAGTAGGTTCAGAGGCACTCCTGCCACCTCCATGGATGAAACAGTAAATCCATTCAACTCCTCTGACTTAAGTCCACATGATTTCAGGCTTTTGCACATTGTGCAAAGTTGTTTTGGTGCAAAGATATGTTACACAAAATATTTAAGGCTTCATGTTTGGTGGGTTGTAGAGCAGAGATCTCAGACTTTTTGCATCTCTCCTTTTACGTGCATATAGATGACGAGGGCAGATTCCATGAAGCAAAATAAATACCTTGCATGTTAAAAGTACAAACTGAAAACAACTTTCATTGAGAGATGTAACATAACTAGTGAATTTCCTTGAATTGATTCAGGGACAAAGATGCCCTGTGGCAGAAGTCTGACGCTTTAGAGTTTGAGCAGAAGCTGAGAGCAGAGGAGCGTTGGTGGTTGGTGGACAAGGAGGCCACCAACTGTCTGGACTGTCAAGGTCAGTTCACCTGGTATCTGCGCAGGCATCACTGCAGGTGAGCTAATATCCAAATGATCACACTTCACACCTTCTCGTAAAAATCATTGGAATAAAATTGTTCATTTGTTTGAAAATATTTGTTAATATTTCATTTTCAGACTCTGCGGCCGCATCTTCTGCTACTACTGCAGCAACAACTTTATTGCGACGAAGCACAATGGGAAGGAGCGCTGTTGCAGGGACTGCTACACGCAGCACAGTGCAGTGGTGGAGCGCTTCACAGAGGCACAGCTGACTCCTTCAGATTTGTCTCCACCTTCAGATGCACCTCAACCCCCACCTGAACCAGCTCCATACAAACCCACCCCCAGTGTCACGGGTGAGACACGTGTTCGTCACGCCTTTACCCAAACTGACCTGGCGTTTGGTCCTTAGTTGTATGAGACTCGAGCTGGAAATGTGAAGGCAGATTTGAAAGAGAGGTTATTTTCTATTAATCAAAAAACAGGAATTGAACCTTTAGCCCAAAAAACTTTTAGTACACCAAGGGAAGGAAATGACTTTTCAGTAGCTGGTGTCAGGTCGGTTAACTGTATGGATATAAAAGGAAGACTGCATGGTGAGGCAGTTGGTAACACTGCTGCCTCTCAGCAAGTAGGTTGCAGGTTTGAATCCCAGTTGTGGCCTTTCTGTGTGGAACTAGCATATTCTCTCCATGCATGTGTGTGTTTTCTTTAGTTGCACCAGTTTTCTCCCACAGACCACAAACATACGTGTTAGGTTAACTAGCGACACTAAATAGTTTCTACGAGTGAGTGAGTGAGTGAAAGGTTGTCTCTGTGTGTCCCTTTGATGGACAGGTGACCAGTCCAGGGTGTCCCCCGCCCTCACCTCTTTCTCCGTCCAACCCTATTGTGGAAAAGCATCATAAAACAGGAGTAACGGATGAATGAGTGCATTGATGGATGAGTGGATGGAGAAAAAAAAGTTCCTTGAGAATCTGAATCTAAAGTTCAGGATGGGAAGGAATTCAGCAAGATTTTCTTGGACAATTAAACATTAAATTAATGCATTCACATTTTGTAAATTTTTGTTGTGATTTTTCTTTAAAACTGATCGTATTTTGAAACGTGCCCCACCCCCTTACAAACCAAAAACAAAACAAGGAATAAAAAAGAAAGCTGATCAGCAGAACCTCATCATATTCCACAAGATCAAATCTTCACGTCAACATTTTATAATTAAAAAGATCCAAATTGATCTCATGATATTAGACTTTGTTACTACAGGTCTTATGGTTTTAAGTGTTTTTATGTTTCACCTACTTAGCTTTTGTAATTCAGTGCCTCTTTTCCTTAGTTTCAGATCCAGGTAACAGATCTGATGATGGGGGTTTTGATGTCATCACAGAAGAGGAAGTGAACGGCGTCTACGACAGCGATACCACCTCTCAGACCACAGGAGGCTCGCTGGAGGGAGAACTAGACCGACAGCATCCTGCAGCTTATGGAGTGTGAGAACTACACTAATGTCTGAATGCATCCTGGTCTGTGGGGTTCACAAGCCTGAGTGAAGCAGCCAAAATGGCCACTTTAGCTTTGGCAAGCCAGTTTATCATAAAATACTTAAACAAGTTTGGCAAAGCAAATGTGTAGTCAAAGACACACCAATTCACTTTTTCATATTTTTATCTTGAGCCAGAAGGAGCTCAGATGACTACAGTCCCCTCCACTCCTTGTGGGTAGAATAGGACTTGGGATCACACGTGATTATGCGTTACATTCTGGATGTGCGCAGACATATTGATGGCCTTACGAGTGTAAACAAACCGTGAAAACAAACAGTACGTCACAGAGAAGAAGCAGGTTTGGGAGAAAGGAAGTACAACATGCTAAAATCCCCCAAAGCATGTGGTGTATACAGGGATATGGTAAATAAAAAGCTGTGAACCAGAACATGGACAAAATTAGCATTATAAATGGTTTGGATCCATATGAAGGATCCGAGACCGGAGCACTGACGACAACTTGTTGCTGCTGCAGTTCTGCATAAGAAGAAGAAGATATCTTTTCTATAGCGCCTCTCAAGATAAAAATCACGAGGCGCTTCACAAACACAAAAAATGTAAAAATATAAAAAATAATTTAGAAAATGATTTAAAATATATTTAAAATGAGCAAAAATAGACAATTGTGATTAAAAATGTTAAGAAAGAGAGAGAGTGAATAGGAAAGAGGGAAATCAGTGGATCCTGAGGAAGGTGGAATAGGTGGGGAGAGCAGAACAAGGAGAGGGTGAAGAAGGTCATACAAAAGCGAGCTTGAACAAGTGAGTCTTCAGCTGCTTTATAAAGGAGTCCACTGATCTCAGGCTCAGGGGGAGAGAGTTCCAGAGTCTGGGGGCCACAGCAGCAAATATGTCACCTTTGGTCTTTAGCCTGGTGCTGCACAACCAGTAGGCTTTGATCACTGGACTTCAGGGACCTGCTGGGGTGTAGGGACTAAGAAGATCACCAATGGAAGATGGTGCTTGTCCATGTAAGGCCCTATAGACCAGAACCAGGATCTTGAAATGAACCCTGAAGTTGACTGGCAGCCAGTGAAGCTGGAGGAGAAGCGGGGTGATGTGGGTGTGTTTGGAGGACTTGGTCAGAAGCCGAGCACAGGCATTCTGAACCACCTGCAGACGGTTCAGGGAGGTTCTGCTCAGACACGTGAAAAGAGAGTTACAGTAGTCTAAGCGTGAGGAGATGATGGTGTGGAGAAAAGTCTCAAGTTCAGAGCGGGACAGAATGGGACTCAGCTTAGCAATGTTCCTGAGATGGAAGAAGGAAGAGCGAACAAGAGAACTGACTTGAGAATCCAGGGTGAGAACTGGGTCAAAGGTCACACCAAGATTCCTGAGAGAGGGTTTGTTGTGAGAAGTAAGTTGACCTAGTTTAGTTTGATTATATGCGGTAAGGTCCTGCCATACAAGGGATTTAGCTGATTATGCATGGTTTGAGCAAAGGTTTCAAAAGGATTGTGCCTTTTCTATATTGTAATAAAACACGCTCCTTTAGGATTATTAATTGATGAACATTCTAAATATAAGTAAAAATTAGAGTATAAATGTCAGGATTCATGGAGGTGAGGAGCCAAACATCCAGGAGGTACCCAGGTCAAGTTAATTTAAATATTGTAACAATAAACTCCAAAGCAAAGGTAAAGGTTCAAAAAGGAACGAATCATTCCAAGGAACTGGCAGTGGAGTGAGACCTGAACCGGGTTTAACACTGAGGTTTAATTTGAGTGCTGATTGCTAATGACTGACAGGTGAGGCCAATCAACTGGAGAACTGAGGGAGGGAGGGAGGGAGGGAGGGAGACCATAAACTGAAAGAAAATACCTACTAAACAGGTGGTCTTTCTCAGTGTCAAGGTGCCTGACCTTGCGAGGCCAGGTGCCTTGCTTACGAGGACACTGTTCTTCCTTGGTCAAAGAAATCGGTTAAATGGAACAGACTTGCATCACATGACCGTGGCTTCCACGGCAGTCACGTAACGTCATGTGACACGAGGGATAACGTTATATTTTATACATATTATTTTCAATATAAATAACGAGACTTTTACCTTTTAAATAGTGTATATGTTTATTAAATAAAAAATATAAGTGAGTTACTACCCGCTAGCCACCGAAGCTGCTACTACTAAGCAACTAACCAACCATAGATAACTTCTTTGGATCTAAAAAGAAAAAACATTTTAAATTAGCTGACTTACTTTTTAACCTGAAAATTGTCCCCGAAGTAGCTGCCGGCTTCTGATCCGCCGTCCATTTGAAAATACTGCAGTGTATTCTGGGTAATTTTTGACCAAGGCTAGGCTACAAGACACCTCCCGTGTGTCCTTGCTCAGCTAGCTAAACGGCTAACAAACGGAGAACACACGCCTCGGTAGAACATAAACATTGGAACACGTCTTGACAGCTCCCGATGACGTATCTCCTAGGCAACCGGGGCGGGACCAAGACACCAAGGCAAGGTTCCTTGGCATTGAGAAACACCCAGGAACACTAAAAACTTGTTTACACCGAGTGTGGAAGGGATGCTGATGGGAATCTGAGCGGCTTCCACAAAGACTAGAAATCATTGAGTCAGATCAGAGCATTTACACCGGCTGGGATGGAGCAGATACAGAAGCAAAGCTGTGGAATCTTTTCGTATGGTTTCTCTTGTTTCTTTTCTGCATGTGGATCATCATGATGTTGATAAAAATACATGAGCTGGAGAGGAAGTGAGACATGTTTCAGTGAGGTGCATTTCAAAGTTAATATCTTTATGCACTATTCTGTCGACTTCTTTTGTTGATAACAATGACGGGGACATTCGTTTTACAGTTCTTTAATTGGTTTTTAAAGCACTGAATGGTTTGGCTCCAGCCTATTTGGCAGATGTGCTGCAGTTGTATGTTTCCTCTCAGGCACTCCGTTCTGAGGATCTGTCCTTGCTCGTGGTGCCCAGGTCACGGCTGAAGATGCAGGCAGATTAAGCTTTTCCAGTGGCAGCCCCAAAACTCTGGAATAAGTTTCCACTACATATTCACCAGTCCTCTTCTGTAGCAGTTTATAAATGTATGCTGAAGACCCATTTTTATGAATTGGCTTTCGACTCTGTGGGGTAGCTGATAGTACTGCTTTTTTGTTTTCATTTTTTATGGTTCTATATGCTGGTGTTTGATTTACAGTAGATTTTATGTGTTGTGCTTTTACTTGGGTCTGTGAAGCCTTTTGGTGGCATGTTTGTGTCTGTAAAGTGCTATGCTAAGTATGCTATGCTAAATAAAGGTCAAGTGTGTGATAGTTCAGGAGGACGGGTGTGGCTTTTGCTTACCAGCTCCTCTCTACACGTGTAGTTGTTGATATTCCACACACGATCCACAACTGGTGTGAATAGGAGTCCTTATGGAAGCCGCACAAATTCCCGTCCGTTCCACACTCTGTGTGAATGATGCTTGAGGAATCAGCAGAGAATAATATGAAGCTCAACTAAACTAACACAAAGTGACAGGGGAATAGTCGTAAAACACACAGAAACACAGTGGGGAGAGGAAGCACAGTGGGGAGGGGAGGGGGGGGGGGCACACAGGGGGCACAGGACATGACCATAAACACTAACAGTAACTCAAAGGTTATTTTTATAAATGCAAATTGTTTAATGTTTTGATAACTAGATACTTTTATATAGTTGAGCTGTAATATCACCAAAGCCTACGTCAAGACAAACTCTGAAACAAGTGTTTTTTCCCAGAAAAGAGCGGTAAAAGAGATGAGAGAGCACCAGGAAAGAGCCTTTCAGCGTAATCTGTGGGATTTATTAAACATCTGCATAGCAGAAGGACGTTGGAGTGCCTTGGCCTTGATGCTGATGGCTACAGTAGTTTTTATCACTCCTGTGCTGTACATTTTTGCCATTTACTGACATTAAGTATGTATCCTTAAACTAGATTCTGCCCCACACATGAATTGTTTGTTGTGCGTAGACCTTTTATTCCAGTCTTTATTGTGAGATCAGATTGTTGTGTATGGTGTTGGTGAGTGTAATGAACAACAGTGAGTAGCACCAGAGACAGAAAAATGCCACGCTGCAGTCTGAATACCATGTGTAACGTTGTGATGAGTGCTCACTGCTTTGGCCATGTTGTTTTTGTACCCTGGGGCTGCCTCGTCACACCACCGGACACAGCTGAGGGATCCAGATAAAGCATGGCCCAGCTGGTTGGTTTTACAGTGTGTGGATCTCTCATGTCCTGGTTATGCTCAGATAAAACTCAGGAGACCAATAACACACACACACACACACACACACACACACACACACACACACACACACACACACACACACACACACACACACACATCCACTGGTGATGCTGAACTACAGTGTAGCCACAGCTGCCCTAGGGCATACTGGCAGAGACGAGACTGACAAACACCGGTCCCTCCGACCGCCACCAACAGACAAGGTGGGTTAAGTGTCTTGCTCAAGGACACAACAGCAGCATTCTCTGCCAGGAACCAACGACATGGGGTGACGGTGGCAGAGGAGCTAAGTGCCCGCCCCGTAGTCGGAATGTTGCAGGTTCGAGCTCAGTTTGTCACTGTTATTGTGTCCTTGGGCAAGCCATGTGTAAATGTGTGTGTGTTTGTGTGGGTAAATGACGGTGTTGTAAAGCGTTTTGGGGACTTCTAAGACACTAGAATGTGCAATGTCAAATACAGGCCATTTACAACCTTCCAATTACTGGACAACCTGCTCTGCCTCCTCAGCTGCTGCTGTCCTTAAATCTGTGCAGCACAGGTGTGTTACAGATAATCAGAGTTATTGATCAAGACAATTTATTCAGAGGATCTTTCATGGATATACAATCAAAGAGTCTGAGTACCCGGCCCGGAGGGTTACAGGGGTCCCACCCTGGAACCAGGCCTGGGGTTCGGGCCCGTGAGCGAGCGCCTGGTGGTCGGGCTTTCGCCCATGGGGCCCGGCCGGGCCAAGCCCGAACCGGATACATGGGCTCATCCAACTGTGGACCCACCACCCGCAGGGGGAACATGAAGGGTCCGGTGCAGTGTGGATCGGGTGGCAGACCGAGGCGGGAGCCTTGGCGGTCCGATCCCCGGACAACGAAACTGGTTTTTGGGACATGGAACGTCACCTCGCTGGCGGGGAAGGAGCAGGAGCTACCGGCTAGATATAGTTGGACTCACCTCAACACATAGCGTTGGCTCTGGAACCCAAGTCCTTGAGAGGGGTTGGACACTCCTTTGCTGGAGTTGCTCCGGGTGAGAGGCGGAGGGCTGGGGTTGGCTTTTTGTTAGCCCCAAGACTCTCTGCCTGTGTGTTGGGGTTTACCCCGGGGGACGAGAGGGTAGCTTCCCTGCGCCTTCGGGTTGGGGAACGGGTCCTGACTGTTTGTGCTCATGGGCCAAATATAAGTTCAGAGTACCCACCCTTTTTGGAGTCCCTGGGACGAGTGCTAGATAGTGCTCCATCAGGGGACTCCATTGTCCTGCTGGGGGACTTCAATGCTCACGTGGGCAATGACGGCATGACCTGGAGGGGTGTGATTGGGAGGAACGGCCGGCCTGATCTGAACTCGAGTGGTGTTTCGTTATTTGACTTCTGTGCAAGCCGCAGTTTGGCCATAACGAACACCATGTTCGAACATAAGGATGCCCATCAGTACACTTGGTACCAGGGCAGCCTAGGTCACAGGTCGATGATAGTCGTATCATCTGACCTGCGGCGGTACGTTTTGGACACCCGAGTGAAGAGAGGAGCAGAGCTGTCAACTGATCACCACCTGGTGGTGAGTTGGATCAGATGGCAGGGGAAGATACTGCATAGACCTGGCAGACCCAAACGCATAGTGAGGGTCTGCTGGGAACGCCTGGCAGAAGAACCTGTCAGGACGGTCTTCAACTCCCACCTCCAGCAGAGCTTTGACCGCATCCCGAGAGCAGTGGGGGACATTGACTCCGAGTTGGCCTTGTTTCACTCTGTGATTGTTGAGGCGGCTGTTGCTAGCTGTGGTCGCAAGGTGGCCGGTGCCAGTCGTGGTGGCAACCCCCGTACCCGCTGGTGGACACCAGAGGTTCGGGGAGCCGTCAGGCTGAAGAAGGAGGCCTACAGGGCGTGGCTGGTCTGTGGGTCTCCGGAGGCAGCAGACAGGTACCGGATAGCCAAGCGGGGTGCAGCAGTGGCAGTTGCCGAGGCAAAATCTCGGGCATGGGAGAGGTTTGGTGAGGTCATGGAGAAAGACTATCGATCGGCTCCATAGAGGTTCTGGCAAACTGTCTGGCACCTCAGGAGAGGAAGGCAGCAACTCTCTCACACTGTTTACAGTGGGGATGGGGAGCTGCTGATGTCAACTGGGGCTATAGTCGGACGGTGGAAGGCATATTTTGAGGAGCTCCTCAATCCCACCTACATGCATTCAGAGGAGGTACCAGAGCCAGGGGGCCTGGGGATGGACTGTCCAATCTCGGGGGCAGAAGTTGCTGAGGTAGTCAAACAATTACACAGCGGCGGAGCCCCAGGGCGGATGAGATTCATCCTGGGTATCTCAAGGCTATGGATGTTGTAGGGCTGTCGTGGTTGACACGTCTCTGCAACATTGCGTGGTCATCGGGGGCAGTTCCTGTGGAGTGGCAGACCGGGGTGGTGGTCCCCATCTTTAAGAAGGGTGACCTGAGGGTGTGTTCCAAATATAGAGGGATCACACTCCTCAGCCTCCCTGGAAAGGTCTACTCCAAGGTACTGGAGAGGAGGGTCCGATTGATAGTTGAATCTCAGATTGAGCAATGTGGTTTTCGTCCTGGCTGTGGAACTGTGGACCAGCTCTATACCCTTGCAAGGGTGATGGAGGGGGCATGGGAGTTTGTCCAACCAATCCACATGTGTTTTGTGGATTTGGAGAAGGCTTATGACCGTGTCCCCAGGGGCACCTTGTGGGGGATGCTCCAGGAGTATGGTGTGGGTGGCTTTCTGTTAACGGCCATTCAGTCCCTTAACCAGAGGAGCGTGAGTTTGGTCCGCATTGCCGGTAGTAAGTCGGACCTGTTCCCGGTGAGGGTTGGACTCCGCCAGGGCTGCCCTTTGTCACCGGTTCTGTTCATTACCTTTATGGACAGAATTTCTAGGCGCAGCCGTGGTGTGGAGTGTGTCGAGTTTGGTGGCAGGAGAATCTCATCTCTGCTTTTTGCGGATGATGTTGTCCTCCTAGCTTCATCCAGCTCTGACCTGAATTCAGCTCTTGCTGGGTAGGTTCGCGGCCGAGTGTGAAGCGGCTGGGATGCGGATCAGCACCTCCAAATCATAGACCATGGTTCTCGACTGGAAAAGGGTGGCTTGCCAACTCCGGGTCGGGAGAGAGGTCCTACCTCAAGTAGAGGAGTTTCAGTATCTCGGGGTCTTGTTCATGAGTGAAGGTAGGAGGGATCGGGAGATCAACAGGCGGATTGGTTTGGCGTCTGCAGTGATGCGGACGCTTAGCCGATCTGTCGTGGTGAAGAGGGAGCTGAGCCAGAAAGCCAGGCTCTCGATTTACCTGTCGATCTACGTCCCAATCCTCACCTATGGTCATGACCTTTGTGTAATAACTGAAAGAACGAGATTGCGGATACAAGCGACCGAAATGAGTTTCCTCCGTAGGGTGGCCGAGCTCAGCCTTAGAGATAGGGTGAGGAGCTCGGACATTCAGGAGGGACTCAGAGTAGAACCTCTGCTTCTCCGGATCGAAAGGAGTCAGTTGAGGTGATTTGGGCATCTGGTCAGGATGCCTCCTGGACGCCTCCCTGGGGAGGTGTTTCGGGCATGTCCTGCCGGCAGGAGGCCCCCGGGTCGACCCAGGACACGTTGGAGAGGTTACATCTCCAATCTGGTCCGGGAACTCCTTGGGGTCCTGCCGGAGGAGCTGGTGGAGGTGGCCAGGAAGAGGACGGTCTGGAGCTTCCTAGTTGGGATGCTGCCCCTGCGACTCGGACCCGGATAAGCGGAGGAAGACGACGACGACAATAATTCTCGCTCCCTGTGTTCTCTGGTGCATCCATTAAAATCTTCTTCAAATATATTCTTCCCTACATCTTATCGACAAATTCAAGTTGACAAAAATATGGATTCTGGCCCAAACTGCCTGCATTTGTCAGTGGAAGATCTGCAAAGAATATTTTAAGGGGATGTGGTAAAATAATTTCCAAACATACCATGCTCCCATTTGACTCTTTTTTTTTTTTTTTTTTTTTTTTTTCAAAAACCACATCAGTGCATTCCCTCCCTTGCTGGATTGTTGTGATTCAAACATAAATATTTATCCCCAGCTTCCATTTACATTTATGAGTAGAGGCTACCTGCTGTGATCCAAAGCTTTTAAATCGGGCTTTGCAGGATAACAAAAAGTTTTCTTCAATATTTAAAGTCTGGTAATTGATGTTCCAGTGGCCTATCAGGATGCACGGGCACCAACCTGAGCATATAATCGTACAATTTTAATTCATGTTCATGCTGCTTCCTCCTGAGTTGTGTAATGGTGGCTGTGGTCATTTCTAATTCATCGTCTTCTTGCTTTTGCAGAGGTACGGGTGATGTGACCCCTGATGAAGATCAAGTCACCACTCTCCAGGATTCAGAGTTTAACCTTCTCAAATCAGGAGAAGTCACGTGAGTCGCAGTGCTGATGTCCTCCTAATCCCTGTGTGACTTTATGAGCCTCTGATTGAGCTTTAATTCTTACAGGATGGCCGTCCCTCTCAGCATGGAGGACATTTCTCAGTTCGGTGATGGTTCCAGAGAGCTCTTCATCAAGTCCAGTTGTTACAGTGTCATTACCGTCTCTGTGGCAGACTGTGGTCAAACTATCAGCTGGATGTTTTCCTCTGAGCCCAAAAGCATCTCGTTTAGTGTAGTTTATCAGGAGTCCAGTGACGTTCAGGCGCAACAGTCTAAGGTAGAGCTGTGTGCTTTTATTCTATCTCATGACCACGTTTTAATACTTCACTCAGGCTTTTGAAGCATATGCTATACACATCTAAAGTGTGTCAGTCTTTCTCTGGTAGTGTAGAAAGAGCAGCTGTCAAAAATAAAGTTATGGCATCATTTTAAAGCACTTAAAGAGGCCGAGTAAAAGGCTTTTCAGTCGCCGGAGAGGTGGAAAACCCACATGATCATTGAAAAGCAGAAGTTATTTTCAGGCCCTACCTGAAATCACACAGGCCTCCTACAGAGAGCAAGGTCATTTTGCTTGATTGTTCAAAGATGATGGATTGAGGAAAACCGCTGCAGGCTGACAGTGTGCACATTCTGCACAAAAAAAATGTCAGCAGTTTTAAATAATTCATGTCACTTCATTTTTACCACCAGCGTGTTGCATTTTTCCTACTGTTTTATTCTGTATATTATTAGGGTTTGTTTTAGGTTAGAAATTAGACTTTTCTTGAACTTTATCAGCTTTAACAAACATAATAATGATAACTGAATTATAATAGATTGTATTTGTTTGAAATAGATTGTGTTTGTTTGAAATGCAGAGAAATAGATTGTGTTTGTTTGAAATGCAGAGGAGTGAAGGTTTGTTTGTTGATTATGGCTGGTTCTCTTGAGGCTTTAGTGTTTCTGTTCTGCTCTCAGGTGCTGATTCCTCTGACACGTTGCAATTCCCATAAAGAGACCGTGCAGGGGAAGCTGAAAGTGCAACACCCCGGCCTCTACACACTCATCTTTGACAACTCTTTTTCTCGGTACAAAGCTCCTAACTTGCTTAAAGAAAAATATCTTACTACTGAATATATGTCGACATTAGAATAAAAAAATATATTTTATGTACTGTGATATTTTAACCAAAAGCGTATCTTTTAACAGGTTCATCTCTAAAAAGGTGTTATATCATCTGACCATGGAGAGGCCTATTATCTACGATGGAAGCGACGGTCCTTGAACCTAACACCTGTCTCCTCGTGTCTCAGGGAAAGCTGAAGGCAAATGGACAAAATGACAATCCATGTGTGTTTTTGTTATGTTTTATCTGTTTCACAAACCAAGTATTTGAAAAAATGTCGCGTAACATTTGAATTTTAATGGGTTATAATAGATTTATGTGCTTTAGAGATGGTTTAAAAAATGGATGATGAATAAGAAAGAAATATCTATGCAAGTTTATTTTAATACATTCATATGGTTTTACTTCCTTTGGGAAATGTTATTCTTTGTGTCTGGTTTGTTTATTTAGAACTATTTCTGATTCATTTAAACATGGAAAACTGTTGATTAGAGACAAAAACCCTAGAAGTAAAAAATATAATTTAAACCAACCACTTTTAATAGGTTTGTGCAATTTTTATATACGACGTGGTCAAGAAAAGCACAAGTGCGCACCAGCAGTTTGCTGCTGGCTGGTTTTCAAGTTCAACATTACGCTTGCTCTCTGTCACTGGGAGAGAGAGAAGCTTACTTAACACCTCGCAGCTTTGTGCAATTCTCAGGACTGATGTGTCACGGTGTTTGCTTAGATATGTGTTTTTTAGAGAATATTGACACCTTACTTTTTAAATACACACTCTTTCAAACCACTATTTCTCATCCAGTTTTATAATCTAACTCTCTTTACCAGACCTGATGACTTGTAGTTTAAAATCATGTCTTCTAAAGTGCCTTTTAGTTCAGAATCTTGTTTTTTGTTATACTATTACAGTATATGAATAGAAACTAGTACACATCATACAAACTTCATTTCATCAATAAATCCTATTTTGCACATTTTATAGTATTTCAGGGATTTCCCTTTTTTCTTTTATTGTGGTTTTTCTTTCTTTAGATAACTATTTTCATTCTTGTGCTTGTAGACATCAAATACATTTAATTTGTTTTGGCAAAGCAGTAAGAAAAGGATTAATAGTCATCACTTTTTGTCTCAACCTTTTTATGCCAAGTCTCATATTACTGCACTTTGCAATAAAATATTTCAAATATTACAAACGATACTAAATCTGTCATTTTGCACTTTTAGAAAAATTTCTCAAACACATTTTTGTACTTTTGCTAGATTATATTTTGGAAATGAAACATTTGCACACATTATTGTGTAGAGGGTAAATGTTGTTGCTTTTAAGTAAACATGACAAGTTAACCAAGGCTACTGTGATGGATGAATCTAAGAGGATGGGATGTGATGCATGGTGATTTAATGGTGTGTGTTTATCAGAACCTTGTATCTAGAAGAACTGAGTTCTGGGTGTGAAAAGGTATTTGGTTTGCATTAAACTATGAAGTTGATTCTTATCAAAACGGCATCAGACCCAATCATGTTGTGTTCTACGTACCCCTGAGGAGACTCCCTTTCGGATCCGAGATGTCGGGGGGGGGGGGGTCGGGTGACCCCAGGGTACCGAAGTTGTAGAAAAGACAGCAGTACGACCAGGTCGGTCCAGGGTCGTCTCACCGGCTCACAGCAGATAGATGAAATCGTTTGCGTATAGAAGGACTCTAAGGGAGTCGGAACTATAAGCTTTGTTCTGCAGGAACCGTTTGCTGTCAGCTTCAGCGTGTAGCATGGTTTTTGACAGCTTGCCAAAAATGTTCTGGGTTAAAAGAGGGTTCACTCCAGATGGCCTGTCCGTAGCCTTCTTTAGAGCTGACTCACCATCAAGTGAGCTCTGTTTTAATATTCTCATATTATGATTTCTTGGCCAACCGGGACGTGCCATGTTAAGGGGTGTTAAGCAAACCTCAGAACATCACGCCTTCTTTCAGACACAGGATGCTCTGATTTGTGGCTAAGAAAATATCTATGTGTCATGATGTTTAACTTAACTTTAATTTATCTCTAATGAACCTTGTGTCTGAGTGTAGATAATGATTCACTTATATCAAACGTTACTGATCATCATATATATAAATCTTTCAATATAATAACAATCATTTCAAATTTCAGTAATTCAAGAATAGATTAATCAACCTTATTAATTTAAGCACAGATTAATCAAGACATTATTATTATTCATATAAATTTTTTTCATTCATTTCACGATTGATTAACTCGTATGAGCTGAAAATATTCACTTTATTCAAAGAGTGAGCAATCCTGTGGTGTTATCAAAAGAAGGCTTTGTTTGGGAACACAGCCTGACATCTTGTTCCTCCTGAAATGTCAATAAGGCTGCAGTATCCTTCAGGGTTTGTTGGGAGCTAGGATGTAAAATCCACTTTAGAGAATGGAATATATGTCTGCAGATGACTGGTAGCATGTAGGTCAATCTGTAGGTGAAAACTGACCATTGCTGGATGTTACAATTGCAATATACACTGAGTGTATGCATGGGAAATGTGTCAAACACACAGTAAAGAAGTAAAGGGGAGAATGATATTGTGATTTGTTATTGTCTAAATGTATTGTGCCTTTAAGAGTCACCACAGCCTTTTAAAATTGACCCATCATCCCCATCTGATGTCAGTGTGTTAAAATGGGAGGAGTTGTGAATTGTGAATAAAACAAAACTACAATGCTCAAATGTACAGAGCAAGTTCACAGAGAAACCAGTTGAAATATTCACTTTTTGTTATATTACAGCAATTTGTTAAAATCAAATAAATAATTTTTTTATGTTTATGTTTATTTGGCAGACGCTTTTATCCAAAGCGACTTACAATTTATAACCTATAGGGCATGTTGTAATCTGTGGGGGAAACCGGAGTACCCGGAGGAAACCCACGCACACATGGGGAGAACTTCTACTTCCTGAAACAGGAGTGCAAATGTGACGCGATACCTGCAACACAAACGTTATTTACTCCACAGAGATCGGCTCACAAGGCATTCATTTGTTCTAGACGTCACTGCAAATGTATTGAAAAAATGAGGGAACTTGGTCTTTACATCTATATGGAAACTGATCTGATACAATTAATCAGAAACTAAAGTGTTGAAATTTGATTTGAGATGTTTTGTTTTCAAGATGCAAAGTAGACTGTAAAACTGAAGGCATTTAGAAAATGTCCGTTGGAATGGATGCATGGATGGATAGATAATCTACTGTATCTGCAATTAGAACTGCGCTGCTCTGGATGGCTGCATTTTGGAGTAGCTCTGTTGACTATGTAAGTTTTACCTTTTCTTGGACATTTTTTCTTCTGGTGTCTCGGGAGGAATGGTATTTTTTTGGACATTTTTTCTTTTCTGTTTCTGGTGCTGTGAAGCTTGGAGGATTTTTACTGCTATTTTTTCACTTTTTTGAGCATTTGTTATGATGTGTAACCATGGTAACAAGCTGGTTTACAATCGGGAGCAGCTGATTAACATTGGGAAGGCTGAAATAATACCTCAACTGAAGCCACAAATCCCAAATGAGCTAAAACGCAAGAAGTGTGGGTGCAGAGCAGGAGCAAAACGGAGACAGAGAAAGAGGAAATTCAAACCATCTCTTCCATCGATCATGATGGGCAATGTGAAATCACTGGCCAACAAGATGGAGGAACTCCAAGCCCTTTCAAGGACTCAGCCAGAGTATCAGCAGTGTAGTGTTATGTGTTTCAGTGAGACGTGGCTGCAGGACCATATCCCCGATTCCAGCGTCTCTCTGCCAGGATTCCTGACTGTGCGAGCAGACAGAGATCTGAAGAGTAGCGGGAAAAGAAAAGGAGGTGGATTGGCAGTGCTTGTCAACAACAGATGGTGCCATCCAGGTCATGTTTCAGTGAAATGTCATCTCTGCAGCCCAGATGTTGAACTCTTGGCAGTAAGTTGTCGCCCATATTATTTGCCAAGATATTTCACCAGTGTTGTCTTGGCAACCGTTTATACTCCACCTTCAGCCATTGCTGAAAATGCATGTGATGCCATCAGTTCCGTTGTCGCTAAGCTACAAACCCAGCACCCCAATGCATTTGTGGCTATATCTGGTGATTTTAATCATGCCTCGCTCTCTGCTACACTTCCAACATTTCAAGTTTGTCAGCTGCTCCACCAGAGAAAACAAGACATTGGATTTGTGTTATGCAAATGTAAAGAATGCATACATGTCTAAAACAAGACCTCCTCTGGGCCAATCAGATCACAATCTTGTTTTTCTCTGCTCAGAATACAAACCACTTGTTCAGAGGCAACCTGTGACAAGAAGAACTGTAAGAAAATGGTCACAGGACGCTGAAGAAGCCCTGCAGAGTTGTTTTAAGACCACAGATTGGATGACTCTCTGCCAAGGATATGAAGAGGACATCAATGCCATGACTGGATGTGTCACTGACTATATAAACTTCTGTGTGGACAACATCATACCCACCAGAACAGTGAGATGCTTCACTAATAACAAACCCTGGATCACCAGTGAACTGAAGAATCTGCTAAATGAGAAAAAAAGAGCCTTCAAGGAGTGAGACAGGGAATTATTGAGGAGTTTACAGAAGCAACTGAAGATCAAGATCAGAGACAGCAAGGAGGCATACAGGAAGAAGCTGGAGAACAAACTACAGAGGAACAATATCAGAGATGTCTGGTCAGGGATGAAGAAGATCACAGGCTTCAAGCTGAAGAAGGATTGCACAGATGGCAGCCTGGACACGGCCAATGAATTGAACAAGTTCTTCAATAGGTTCAGTTTAGGAACAAACCCAGCATCCTCCTCGCCTGTCCCCAGCCAATCAGACATCCCATCCTCCTCTGATCCAACATTTTCCTGTCACACTCCAGCTCTTTTGTCCTCTAAGGCAGTCATGGACTCTTCTGGTTCTATAAATCTGTCTTCAACCAAGTCAGGAGAGGCTGCTGCCCCATTTACCTCCCCCACCCACCTATCTGTCTCTAGAAGTCAGGTGAAGAGGCAGCTGGAGAGACTGAACAGGAACAAGGCTGCAGGTCCAGATGGTGTCAGCCCCAGGGTACTGAAGGCCTGTGCAGAGCAGCTCTGTGGGATTCTGCAGCACTTCTTCAACCTCAGCCTGGCGCAGGAGAACGTTCCAGTCCTGTGGAAAACATCCTGCCTTGTTCCAGTTCCAAAGAAAACTCGCCCATCAGTCAATGATGACTACAGACCGCTTACCCTGACATCCCACATCATGAAGGTCCTGGAGAGACTCCTGTTGGTCCACCTGAATAAGCAAACTAGAACATATCAGGACCCGCTGCAGTTTGCTTATCGCCAAGGAGTTGGAGTTGAAGAAACCATCATCCAGCTGCTTCAACCAATCCACTGTCATCTGGACAAAGCAGGCAGCACAGTCAGGGTCATGTTCTTTGATTTCTCCAGTGCATTTAACACAATCCAGCCTGATGTACTTTGCCAGAAACTCCAGAAGACACGGGTGGGGGCCTCAACTATCGCCTGGATTAAAGACCACCTGACAAACAGACCACAGTTTGTGAGGCTGAAGAACTGCACATCAAACCAGGCAATCAGTAATTGGAGCACCACAGGGGACTGTACTCTCACCATTCCTATTCACCCTGTGCACCTCAGACTTCCAGTACAAATCAGAGACCTGTCATCTACAGAAATACTCAGATGACTCTGCAGTTGTCGGGTGTATCAGAGATGGACAGGAAACTGAGTACAGAGAGCTGGTGGAGCGCTTTGTGGCATGTGTGGAAACAATCATCTGACCTTGAATGTGAACAAAACAAAGGAGATGATTTTAGACTTCAGAAGAAACAGGGTGGAGTCAAACACTGTTTTCATCAGGGGGGAAGAAGTGGAGGTGGTTGAGGAATACCTTGGAGTTCACCTGGACTACAGACTGGACTGGAGAAAGAACAGCGAAGCCGTTTACAAGAAGGGACACAGCAGACTGCACTTCTTGAGGACACTTAGGTCCTTCAATGTCTGTAGCAAGATGCTGCAGATCTACAAGTCTGTTGTTGAGAGTGTAATCTCTTCAGCCATCGTCTGTTGGGGTAGCAGCATCAGAAGCAGGGACCTGAAAAGGCTCAACAGCCTAATATATAAGGCTGGTTCTGTTCTGGGGACGACTGTGGAACCACTGAAGGAGATAATGCTGATTGATTGTTTGATTGATAATGCAAAGAAGGATTCGAGAATCAAGAAAATTATGGACAACCCTGAGCATTCTCTTCACAAGACTGTCCGACAACAGAAGAGTATCTTCAGTCAGAGGCTTCTTCAGTTTGGCTGCAACACTGACCGCTACTGGAGATCCTTCCTGCCAACAGCCATTGTAATATACAATACTACTTTGATGACTTGATTATTATTATTATTCTGAGTTACTACAGCAAGCAATTTCCCTCTGGGATTAATAAAGTATTTTTGAATTAGAATTTGAATTATGTCATTGTCTTATTGGATGAAAGGATGGATGGATGGATGGATGGATATATAACCTACTGTATCTGTAATTATGTCATTGTCTTGTTGGATGGATGAATGAATGGATGGATGGATGACCTAATGTATCTGTAATTATGTCATTGTCTTGCAGGGATTCCCAAAGTGTGGTGCCCCCTTGGGGGTGCGCGAGCTGCCGCTAGGGGGTGTGTGAGGTGAAAAGTGTAATGGCTGCGGAGCTCAGAGAAGTCTGTCAAAAGTCACCATTAGCGTAGCCAGAAACTCATTTGTGGGTGGGCCTAAGAAAATGTAAGTGGGCCCAATAAACGTAATTGAAAACAAGTATATTTTGCTTGTGTGTGTGTGTGTCCTCCGCACATGCCCTAGCTCAGGGGTCGGCAATCCGCAGCTCTGGAGACATATGCGGCTCTTCCATCCATCTGATGCGGCTCTCTGTGCTTGTAAAATAATGAATGGATATTTAAATAAAATGTTTTATATTTTACTGCGTAAATTTTACATCTGTAAGCTAATTCTAAATGTAAAGATTGTCTGCGTAAACCTGAACAGGTCCAACCCGGTCTATTGTGTGACCGGGTTGATGAATCACGCTTGTGCGTAATCATATCGGCGCTTTCTGAGCTGAAGACGATGTGAGATTCTGGGACTCTCCTCAGACGCCACATTGGAGACAGGAACAAGCACAATTCAGGGAACATTTTCTAAGTGAAAAGTCTCTCTGAGAGACCGGGTTTGGAAAACTCTCTTCAGTGGAAGAAATCTTCCTGCATGCGCTCTGGTTCTGCAACGCTCTCCAAGCCCCTCTCCACATCTTCAGCTCGCTGTGCACCGTACGTACACGCTGACAGTGAGCTGCGCTGAGCGGTGTCCAGCTCAGATCTTCAGAAGGAAATCTTTTCTTGAGTGATTTAGCTACATCTGCGATTTGCGAAACGAATAAAGTGTCAGTTCGTCTGCATGCGTCGGGGTAATTCTTTCTATTCTTTCTCCGTCAAAATCAACGGCCAAATACGGGAACTGTCCGGTCAACACAAGCCCTGCCTTTAACTGTTTTGTTTTCTTGTGAAAATTGTTACAAATTTAACTTGATTAACACCAGAGCCAGGCGCACAGCACCATTATCTCCGTCGCTGTAAATGAGGGGAAAACAAAATGATCGGATCCTTTTCTGACCTCCCCCACCTGCAAAGTTTAATTACAACAATCAAACGTGACAGAGATTTGTATTCTGAACAGTCTAAACATGTTTTAAAAAGAAACATGACAAAAGTGGCACCTGCTCAGTAAAACCACCAACAGGGTGAAAAATATCAAAATGTTGTAGGCAGAGACGGGCTACAACTTCTGGATCCACTTTATATAAATCGTTTTATTGATTATCTTCTTATGAAAGATAACTTTGACGTACACGAGTGACCGGTACCGGCTGCTGTCACCTCTTGTGAGCAGCGCTCTGCTGTCTGAGGGTAGGCCCCGCCCACAACACCACGGCTGCTGCGGTGTTTTCTTTACTGTGGGAAACTGGTAATAATGGCTCTTTGATGGGAACAGGTTGCCGACCCCTGGTTTAGCGTGACGTCTGATATATATATATATATATATATATATATATATATATATATATATATATATATATATATATATATATGTATATATATATATATATACAGTTGTGGTCAGAAGTTTACATACACTTGTAAAAAATATAATATAATGGCTCTACTGAGTGTCCCGTTATTTCTAAAACTCTGATTTTTCTCTGATAGAGTGATTGGAACAGATACTTCTTTGTCACAAAAACATTCATGAAGTTTGGTTCTTTAAGGTCTTTATTATGAGTTAACAGAGAAAAGTGATCACATTTGCTGGGTCACAAATATACATACAGCAACATGAACTAGCAATTTTGGTGACTTAGAAACGTGTCAGTGAACTGAGCTTCATAGCATGGCATCTTAACTTCTTGTGAGTGATTATGAGTGACTACAGCGGGTGACTTCTCTTAGGCCCGGTAAATAGGGCTCATTGGACACAAACGCCCACAAACGCTACAATGGGAAAGTCAAAGGAGCTCAGCATGGATCTGAAAAAGCGAATTATTGACTTGAACAAGTCAGGAAAGTCACTTGGGGCCATTTCAAAGCAGCTGCAGGTCCCAAGAGCAACAGTGCAAACAATTGTTTGTAAGTATAAGGTGCATGGCACTGTTTCATCACTGCCAAGATCAGGAAGAAAACGCAAGCTATCACCTGCTGCTGAGAGAAAATTGGTCAGGAGGGCAAAGAGTGAACCAAGAATCACCAAAAAGTAGATCTGCCAAGAATTAGAAGCTGCTGGAACACAGGTGTCATTGTCCACAGTCAAACGTGTTTTGCATCTCCATGGACTGAGAGGCTGCCGTGCAAGAAGGAAGCCCTTGCTCCAAAAGCGGCACCTTAAGGCTCGACTGAAGTTTGGTGCTGATCACATGGACAAAGATAAGACCTTCTGGAGGAAAGTTCTGTGGTCAGACGAAACAAAAATCGAGCTTGTTGGCCACAATGCCCAGCAATATGTTTGGAGGAGAAAAGGTGAGGCCTTTAACCCCAAGAACACCATGCCTACAGTCAAGCAAGGTGGTGGGAATATTATGCTGTGTGGCTGTTTTGCTGCCAATGGAACTGGTGCTTTACAGAGAGTAAATGGGATAATGAAGAAGGAGGATTACCTTCACATTCTTCAACATAACCTAAAATCATCAGCACGAAGGTTGGGTCTTGGGCGCAGTTGGGTGTTCCAACAGGACAATGACCCCAAACGCACATCAAAAGTGGTAAAGGAATGGCTAAATCAGGCTAGAATAAGGGTTTTAGAATGGCCTTCCCAAAGTCCTGACTTAAACCCCATTGAAAACATGTGGACAGTGCTGAAGAAACAAGTCCATGTCAGAAAGCCATCAAATTTAACTGAACTTCACCAATTCTGTCAAGAGGAGTGGTCAAAGATTCAACCAGAAGCTTGCCAGAAGCTTGTGGATGGCTACCAAAAGCGCCTAATTGAAGTGAAAATGGCTAAGGGACATGTAACCAAATATTAGCACTGCTGTATGTATATTTGTGACCCAGCAAATGTGATCAATTTTCTCTGTTAACCCATAATAAAAACATTAAACAACCGAACTTCATGAATGTTTTTTGTGACAAAGAAGTATCTGTTCCAATCACTCTATCAGAGAAAAATCAGAGTTTTAGAAATAACGGGACACTCAGTAGAGACATTATATTATATTTTTTACAAGTGTATGTAAACTTCTGACCACAACTGTGTGTGTGTATATATATATATATATATATATATATATATATATATATATATATATATCCATGCCCTGATGTGGGGCTGGGGGGTGCGTCAACGTGGTCGGGACATAGAAGGGGGTGCGCGGCTAAATAAGTTTGGGAACCACTGTCTTATTGGATGGATGGGTGGATTGATGGATGGATGGATGGATGACCTTCTGTATCTGTAATTATGTCATTGTCTTATTGGATGGATGACCTTCTGTATCTGTAATTATGTCATTGTCTTATTGGATGGATGGATGGATGGATCAACTGATGAATGGATGACCTTATGTATCTGTAATTATGTCATTGTCTTATTAAATGGATGGATGGAAGGATCAACTGATGGATGACCTAGCCTATCTGTATTACACCATATATGTGGCTCAGTCAATAGTCCAAGCTGCAGCTCAAACACCCTCTTAGCTGGAACGTGGAAAGACTATGATTTACCATCAAAATAAAAGTCTATTTATATTTTAGACCTTAGCGGTGGTGGTTGCAGACATCATCAGTGACTTTGAAATTTCCCATGGTATTACTGTCTCCACTTCCCTGCTCAGTTGTCGGATTGAAAAGGGGGTAATTCACCCGGAAGTATGGCTGGAAGGCTTTTATTTTTTTCAATAATTACCGGAAACTCCCTGTTAGTACCGCTGGTCTGACGGGTGTAGTATCTCCAGCTGGAGAGAGCATCCCGTTCTGGAGCGTCTCGTTTGGACTCAGGAGCAGGAAGCATGTCCTGGCTCTACCTCCGAGGGATTGTTCTCACCCTGTGTTTGGCTCGAACTGTGAGTAATTTATTGCATGTTTTTGAAATAAAAAAAAAACGACTAAATGGTAACTTATGACGTACTTTTGCTTAAAAAAACACATGAAAAAACGAGAAACGTTCAGAAAATGTCTAAAAAGTAACGAGCAAAAGTCAAGTTAAAATGTTAAAGCAAACACGGTAGACTGCAGCCATGGAGAGGAGCTGAAAAAAAACGAATAAGCATCATTTTTATAACTCTTCTTTAACCTTTTTTTGCAACAATGAAAACACAACAGTCCTCCAGGTGTCTGATTTTTGGTTCAGATAAAATTTATATCTGTTAGTACATGCTGCATTGTAAATTCAAAGGCACCCATTGCCAGAAAACACAATAAAGTAATACAAGCAAAGGCCATTATGGCACAATCAGTTCCTAATATTAATGCATTCATTCAACAGCTTAGAATAAAAACACAGTTTTTGATTATTTTGCAGGTGAAAAGATCCTACATTTCAAAGTTAGAGTAAAACAATGACACTTAAAGCACATCTTTATTTGAGGCTCTAAACTCAACAATGGCTCAGGGTTTTAAAGCTATTTCATATGTAGAGCCTCTCAGGGACTCAAGTGGCTTTGTTTGTTGGGAGCCATGTGTTCTGTGGTATGTAGGCATCATCCTCTGAGGATAATTTGGGTCATATTGTAGCTTTTTTCATGGTGTACTTATTCTGCTCCACCAAACGTGCCCTTTTGGATTGACATCTCTTCATGTGTGTGCCTGTTCTGGATTTTGTTAACCCTAATGTGTGTGAGTGCATGTAAACGTGTGGATGTGTGCAAAAAACCTTTTGCTTTTTTAAAATGATTAACTTGACTTATTTCACGGTCTCCTTCAGCCAAGATAAATCAAACTGCATCCGGCAGCAGCACACCCCACCGCTAAACAAGTCACCTTGCTTGTGCTCAGGCGTGAGTCTTTCAGATGTTAAAGGCACAACTCCTGAGTGAGCTGATTAATCACAGGAAAAAAAAGCTGCACTAATTTAACTTATGTGGAAACGTTTAGAAGATGGGCTTATTTCTGAGTTTTGGTCAATTTCTGCATAAAGAAAATGAAAAATGTAACAGAAAAATGTCTGCATGCTTGCAAATTTGCTAAACTACACACATCTAGTACATTTTAATGCTAATTTACGTCTGTGCTTGGTTCATTTTGCGATGAAAAAGTACATCATTCATGCAGCAAATTTATTTATCATGTCACATTCATGTGCACACACAACATCTTTGTGGGGCTTTCCTTTCGCCTCACTAGTTTCCTCAGAGCAGAAATGTGAGAAGCAAGCTAACGGCTGCTGGGATGATCTGTTCACGACAAAGAAAATGAGAGCAGGGCACATGCTCATCACCTCTCCGTCCCGTTTTTCAGCTCAGGATTGCAGAGGAATATCATCTTAAATAAATGGCCTGTATTTGATACAGTGCCTTCTAGAGTCCTGGAACCCCCCAAGGTGCTTTACAACACAATCAGTCATTCACCCATTCACACCCTGGAGGGGATGAGCTACATTCTAGCCACAGCTGCCATGGGGCAAACTGACAGAGGCGAGTCTGCCGTACGCCACCGGTCCCACCGAACACCACCAGCAGGCAAGGTGGGTTAAGTGTCTTGCTCAAGGACACATTGACAGACTGAGCGGGGCTCAAAACTGCAACCATCTGAGTACGGGGCGAGCACTTAACTCCTGTGCTATCGTCGCCCACAAAACACTTGCATAGGGGACTAATAAACATAAATTAAAAAAATGTGTTTTAAATGTTGAAATATGATGAAAATGTTGTGTTTAGACTAGCACCTGGAAAGGAAACAAAGGGAGGAAAGGGATTATGTTGTTGCTGCAAGGGAAGATGGAAGTTTAGGATATCTATCTTCATACAAGCTTAATCCGATTCACTTCACAGCCTGATTATAAGTAGTTTATTTATGGCTCTAATTAACTCAGAAACACTTGATTCAGAAGCCTCCAGATTATTATTCACTTACCTCTGATGAGCTCATTTTTAAAGACTGTTGACATTTTTCTTTGTGTGCTCATAATCTGAACGTCAGAGGCTGACCCTGCCTGTGCTCCCTGTTTGATTGAGAGAACGTATTTTATATTTTTAAATCATAAGAGTTCAGGAGCACCAGATTCAATGTTGAAAACAGAACCTGCAAAGTGAACCCAACGCAGTGGCCTCTTTTTGAGATAGTTAATGGATAATGGACTTCACCTCTCAGAGAACATTTACGACACTAACCAGGCAGAGTAGAGGGACCTTTGGCTTTTTCTTTAGTTTCAATGATCATATCATATAGGCAGACCCATTGCAGCACCCCCTCCAACACACACACCCAAACACACACTCTCCTCTTTCTGCTAACCTCTGTTTCTGTCTCTCAAGTGCAATGCAGTGTCTCACTTAATCACATCATGCAGCTGAAATGCGTGAACACATCATGTGCCCCCAGTGCTTGTAACAATCCAGCCTTGACTCATTTAATTCTTCACCCTCCATCTTCTGATATTTGCAGTCTCAGCTCCTCGAACTCTCACTCCATTTTCCAAATTGCATAAGATTTCATCACAGTGTTCCCTCATAGCAACAGCGCTTATCTGATGATCCGTTTAGCGTCTACCTGTCGCAGGTTCTCTGAGTTGTTTCGTGTGAGAGTAAATTTCTCAGCGTGTGAATGAAGTGGCGCCAAAGATAAAAGGAGACAAAATCAGACAACGTGAGATCAAAAAGCTGAAAACAAACTAGAAAGAAAACAAAGATTACACCCATTTCAGATAAAACAGAGAAAGCCTGACCCTACACAAAAACATATCTCAAAAATATTTTGTAACTTTTAGTCTGGACTCTAGAAATGTTATTTTCTAAGTCATTTTTCTTTCTCTTTCTTTAATGAAACGGTTTTATTTAACAAAAGAGTGATACGTGCTCCTTGAAATCACAAAGTCATGATATAAAATTGAATCAATCTTGTTTATGGCTAATGTAGAAAAAACATTAACGCAATTAATGTGGTTAACTTTAAAATCACATAATTAGCACAACTATTATTTGACATGGGAAAACACTCACAAAGCAACTGAGTTCACATTTCAAATGTGGAACACTCGTCTATGCAGCGGACTCAAGTAGGAATGAATGTCTTGTAAGTCATACTTAGGGGTGCAAAATAAACCAGTGCACTATTTCCACAAACTAGAAATGACTCACATCACAGCTGAGCTTCACACAGCAGGTTTTGGAATCTCATTTCTCTCCTCAGATCGGATAACAAAAATGCGAGTCTACCACTCACTTGCAATGCAGATGTTTTGTCTCTACAAATAACACAAGCCCAGAGGAGTTCTGCTGTGTGGAGACGTTGCTAATGCTAATTGTTAGCTTATAGCTGAGGCGTTCTCTGCTGTTTCCTGGACGCGTCATTTGGAATTCCAGGATGTCCAAGGAAGGTCCCGCCTGTCTTGTCTCTGATTGGCTAGAAAGGCGCTGAGGGAAGCCAAAACAAACTTGTTGGCACGCACGGAAAAAGTGGAGCAGGAGTCTCAAGTTCTGTCTAAAACTGTGACAACAATGGAGACAAAGTTGGCTGAAATAGAGGATTGGAACAGATGGAATAATATTGCTGTGCATGGGCTCAGTGAGCGAAAGGAGAACGCTTTACAATATATCATGACCCAGCTCCCACTTTGGTTCCCTACTCTGAAAGACGCTCCACCAGAGATGTTTATGTATTTAGCAGATGCTTTTGTCCAAAGTGACTTACAAGTGATAATCGGCATGTTGCCCTCGAAGCTAACAACAATAACAACAAACAATTTCCAGTCAATCGTAGGTGGCAGTGAGGCAGCATGATGAAGGGAACAAGGAGTGGACAGTAGAGAGGGGGGCGGGTGCAATGAGGGTGCTAGTTTATCGATCGATGTGGATCACATGGCAACATAAGCAGTCATATTTGGGCCATTACCATCTGTACCGGGTCGGCCCGGGCCGGGTAGCGTAGGTTGTTTGCATATCTGGGTGGCCTGGTATTTTTCCGGGCCAACCAAGGCTCATTCTCAGCCCTCTTCTCGAGGGGGTCTGCTTCAGGCCGACCAGGGCCAACACACCCACTGCTGACAGCAAATTCACACCTAACCCACTCACTGTTACCTGGCCGTTTACCTGACTTCAGGAGCCCACAGCACGTCCGTCTCAACACACCTTAAGTCAGCACGCGACGTATAACAGGAAAGACAACCATGTACGCTCACAAACAAACAAATTTGTGTAATCAGAGACAGAAATCTGTGGAACCAACAAGTCTGGTAACCGGGATCCTCCACCTTCTACGTTGCAGATGGTAGCGGAGGAGGAGGAGGAGGATGATGAGAGGAACTCACGTCCCCGGCGCAGCTGCCTGGGCCGGCGGTCTATCGCGACGTGGTTCCAAGGACCGAGCCAGGCGTCCATTAACATCATCCAGCGATGTTCCCATGAGTTTCAATGCGGCGGAGAACCGACGGTTTTGGAAAATGAACATAGCCCAAATCAAGCAGATGTTTACGCCTTTAATGAATATGACCACAGAGTCAGCAGGAGGACCAGGAGTAAGACACCGGTCGAAACCGAAGGTCGGGATCCGACGACAGCTCACGCAACACTTTGTTCACCACACCCACGCGAACCACGGTCGGACCTTCGAACTCCACCCGAACCACCGTCGCTGGTGAAAGAGCAAAAGAGTTGTTATTATAGAAAGTGGAGGACTCCACTTCAGACCTATGCTCACCAGGATCCAAGTGATATAGAGAAACCTCTCCCACGTGGACCGTAGCACCCCGGGGAACCTTCACCCACAAGGTCGCAGATGGTAGGTCCACCTTAGCAGAAACAGAACCTTCAAAGCAAACTTCAGCTTCAGTAGCAGGGGTATTGAGTAACCAACGGTCGCCAACGATAACAGCTTTACTGCTCATCACACGCGAATGCGGAGTCACTGT